GGGCACCCCGTCCTGAGAGCGCGCGCGGCCCAGGGGCGCGAAGCTGGGGCCGCTCCGCCGGGGCTGGCGCCTGACCCCGCCTCCCTCGTTCCCCGAACCGGGCCGGCCCGCGAGGACTGAGGGACCCTCGCGGCCCCAGGGGCGCGCGCAGCGGGAGGGCGCGGGGCGCTGCTCCCCGGCCGCGGAGCCCGGACAGGGGCGCTGGGCGCGAGGTCCTGTCCACGCCGCGGGGGCGCCGGCGCGGGAACGCGGGGTGTCGGGCGCGGCCCAGGGCGGAGGGCGGAGGGCTGGACACCGGAGCGGGGCCGCGCCCCGAGAGTGGAGCCGCCGGGCCGCGGGGCCGCGGGGGGGGGGGGGACTCGCCCGGGTCCGCGCAGGCCTCGCCCCCGGGGTGGCGGCGCCCGGAGCGGGCGGCGCGGCCCGGGCGGTTGGGGAGCAGAGCCCGAGCGAGGCGGCGCCCCCTCTCTCCGCGCCCCCGGCTCGGGCCGCGGGGCGGGCGGACCCGCCAGGCCGGACCCCGAGGCCGGACCCGGAGGACGTGCGCTCGGCGCCCCCTGCCGGCCGCGCGCGGGACGCCCGGGGCGCGCGTCGGGCTCGGGCTGGGGGTCCCGTCCCCGCGGATCCAGCGGATCCAGGGGCACGACCGCCGGCCCCGCCTCCAGGGGCTCTGCTGAGCCAGCCCCCCCCTCCCGCAGCCCTGGCCTCCAAGTCCACGCGTCTGCACCCCCGGCTCGGGCCAGCTCTGCCTCCAGGGACCTGGACCCAAAGCTGGGGCCCAGATCTCAGCCCCCTGTCGCTGGGGCGCCCCGCGGTCCTCCTCCCGGGCTCTCCGGCAGCTCCAGAGTCTGGGGGACCCCGCGCTGCTCACAGGGTGGCGGGACGCTCTCTGGGTTTCTAATCCCCAGCCCAGACCCCAGCAGCCAGACGCAGTCACCCGCACAGGCCCTGGCCCACACCATCCCCCTGACAGCTGCCGGGCAGGCGGTTCGCCCTCGCACCAGAGGGGCCTTCAGGACTGTCCCTTGTCTGGACTCCTGCTGGCTTTGACGGCGGCCGTCGAGGACACACATCGGCTTGGATGGGAAGGACTCCCCTCGCTGCGGGCACCCGGAGGCCCCGGCCATGGGCGCCAGCCTCGCCGACAGCAGCGGGACACGGGGCGTCGCACCCGCTGGAACAGACGCGCGTCCAGGCCCGGTGTCTGGGCTGGTGAGTGACTCAGGGAAACCTGCTCCCTTCAGCACGTGTGGGAGCAGATTCTAAATACCCACATCAATCTCATTACCAAAAAGCAGGGAAAATATTAATATCCTAGGCATATGCAGGAATTTCAATGATCCCTTGCAATATGTTGTGATTTTGCATGTTACAAAACATTGTTATTTTAATCCTCAGATCGTGATTCAGCTTGAGAAACTTTGCTTAATTTCTGTGGACTTTTCAAAGTTTTCCTTTACCAGGAAGCGATGTCATAAGCAGCTGCAAGCACGTGAGTGTGCGTGAGGAGGGAGCAGGAGGGCTTGGCGGGTGCAGGTTCCAGCAGTGGGAGCTGGTGCGGAGCCAGGAAGAGCCGAGGGAGAGCACCCGTGTCCTCCATCGCGCTCCCCGAGGCCCAGGAGGAAAGTGCCCGTGAAGGACAGGGCCGGGGCCATCCAGCTGGCCGGTCTCCTGCGTGTGAAAACACTGACTCGGAAGCTCAGCCTCAGAGCGGTCAGGGCGCAGGCACTGAGGGCTGGCCAGCGGCCAAGGCAGCTGGGTGTGGGTTTGGGGTACCTGACCCAGCCGGTCCCCAAAATAGGTGCTTAAAGGGAATCCACAGTGTGAGGATGGGGGCACCCTAAAGAGAGCTTCTTCTGGAAGAGAACTTGGCGTCAGTGGGAGACAGTGGAGCCACCAGGGCTGGACCCACAGTGGCCGTGGGCGAGCAGGGCAGTGGTTCCAGGCCCTGTTTTCTCTGACTGTTAAAGGGCACTTTTCCATAGCTCAGCTGGTTTCTGATTTCCCTTGAACCTCCAAGAACTAGCAGGTGAGGCCACATTTGGGGGTCAGCAGCAGGGAGGCGCCTGCCCACGGCCTTGAAATCAGGTTGGGAAAGTGCATTTAGGAGCAAACGACCTGCCTGAGTCCCTGCCAGCCCAGGGGTGGTGCCAGTGCCCCTCAGGGCCATGGGTTTGCAGGGGCCTCTGGCTGGGCCTTCCTGATTCATTTGCCTAATGGCCCCTCTGGTGACCCTGACCCTGCTCAGGGCTTTGCAGGCAGCGAGGCTGCAGCACCCCTCCAGGTGGGCATGGGACACACCTTGCAGGTGCCTTCCCACCAGCTCCCACCAGCATCTGGAACTCGCAGGGCTTTGACGGCAGCTTTTACTGGTCAGCTCCCAAGCCCACGGCTCGTGCCAGGCGTGTTGGGATGAAGCATCTCTGCGGAGAGCACTGAGCTGGGGGTTGGCCTGGTCAGGAATCCAGGATGGCTGACACGCGTCTAGGCATGTGGCCACAGTGGCCAGGGCGCTCCCCTCTATCTGGGGCCCGTCCTGCTTCTCCCTGCCCCTCCCCTGCCCCTCAGGGGTTGCCAAGTCTCTACCCAGGGCCATGTGCTGGGGGAGGGTGGAGTCCGGCCAGCGCGCGGTTGGCCGAAGGGCGACCACAGGAGGGTGGCTGGGGCCACCGCCCACAGGACGCAGTGTAAGCAGGGTGCGGGCACAAGATGAGAGGAAAAGATACACAGAAATAGCTGGTGTCTCCTGAACATGTGTTTGTTCTAGATAAAATGTCCTTATCAGCACGGATCTACTCTGTCCTGGGGACTGAAGTCAGAGCCGTGAATACGAGCACACAGGGGGGACCCCGTGGCTGGAAACAAAGGGGTCAGCAGGTGCCAGCAGACAGGAGCTGGCGAGGGCTGGTCTACGCAGGTGCGCTCGGGCACAGCAGCGGGCAGGGCCGCCCCCAAGCCTCCACCCCACCAACAGGGTGACCCACGCGCAGCGAGGCCGCCGCGGGCCCTGACCCCAAGAGGTGTCCGACTTGGGCAGATCCCAGGGCACCGGCTGGGGCTGTCCCCCCACTGTGAGCACCTGCGAGGAGGCGCTGCCCCCCAGAAAGGCGCCTCACAGGAGCAGAGGAAGCGACGCCCTGGCCTCTGATGTGCCGCCCAGAACCCCAGGGTTGATGTCCATCGACCCCCATCTTTCTGGATGACTCCACAATGTTAACAACCACAACCGCCGTCAGCTTTGGTTTTGTCCTTAATTCCGCCTGGACACCGCCGCTGGGATCTCCGGTCGCGCAGGGTTCTCCCTGCACCTCAGGGGTCCAGCAGCAGGACCCCCGCCCTGCCAAGCGCGTCTAAATGAGCCCTGACGTCACCTGAGACCTGCGTCACCAGGAGCTGCTGGGTGGCGTCATAGGGGGGCGGGGAGCGGCAGCTCAGCGTGCAGAGGAGACTTTCTCCGCGGCCGCGGGCGGCCCCCCCGAGGTCACCGGGGCTGCGCGGGTGAGTGGGGTGCGGGGCCCAGAAACCCCGACCGCGGCACAGGACCCGGCCCGCGCTGGAGACCCGCGCATGTGCGCCCCGGGCCCCGGACTCTGCCGGGCCGCTCCCTGCGCCTTCCCGGGGTGCCCGCGGGTGGGGCGCGGGGCCGGCTGCGCCCTCGGGGCGCGACAGGACGCCGCTCCCTGGGGAGCTCGGGCCGCGCCGTCCCCTCCCGGCAGCCCCTGACCGCTCCGGCCGCGGCGTCCACGCGCCTGACCTGCCGGATCGCCGGGTGAGCGCGAGGCGCCGCCCCCGCCCCCCCCCAAGCTGGCGCCGGGAAAACGCGCGGGAGCGGCGCCCCGGCCGCCGAGGGGCAGCGCGAGCGTCCAGCGCGGCCCCGGAACCGAGGGCCCGGCGTGGGCAGCCTGGAGGGCCCGGGAGGGCGGATCCCGGGCGCGGGCACCCGCTGAGCGGCCCCCAGCGGGCAGAGCAGGCCCCTCGGGGCGCCCCCCTCCCCCCCGGGCCCCCAGCCCCCAGCCCCTGCCCCTGCAGAGCCCCCAGCGTCGCCTCGCGGCCCGAGGCAGCCGCTCCAGCGCGGCTGGGGAGAAGGCACGCGGCCCTTCCCGCCCGGCGTCTCTTGGCCTGAAACCCCCCACCCGCCGACGCTGGGGCCCGGCCTGCGCGCCCGGCTCCGCGGCTCCTGGCTGGGGGCGCAGCCGTGTCCACGCAGCCACGAGGCCCGCCCGCCATCTGGACCCCGGTCGCCCGCCCCCCGGGCCGCGCTCCCCGCGCCAGCAGCCGGCGCAGCCCGACGTCCGAGCAGGTGGTCACCTCCCGGGACCGCGTGTCCTCTCGAGCAGGTGGTCACCTCCCGGGACCCCGTGTCCTCGCGGGCGCTGCGCGGCCTCCTCGGGGCTGCACCACGCTGGGCGCGGGGACCGCGGGGCGCCGTCGAGGCCGCTCCCGTCTGTGTGGTCAGAGGAAACGGTGGAACGGGAACTGGAAGTTCTTCATCTTCTAGGTGTGACTATGCGATCCTGCTTCGTGAAGCCTGGGAAATACTGACCCTTTCAAAATCAGAGAAGATTTAAACGAGTCACAAACCTGGACGCGTTAAAGCTGATAATGATGCGGCCGCAGCCGGGAAGGGAGAGCAGACGCCCCCAGGCGCGCCCGGGCTCCTCGGCCACCCCCCAGCGCCCCCGCCGGACCCCGCAGCCGCACCTGGACGCAGCCGGCCGGAGGGGGCCGCCTGGGCCGGCGCTGACCGGCGGTGGAGCCCCGGACCGGCGCGTGCGCAGGGCTGCTGGCGCCCCAGGCAGAGTCGGGGCGCCGGAGGCTGCAGGAGGAGAAACAGCCGCAGGCACAGAGAGGGCCGCGGGGGGAGCCATGTCCAGGAGCCGCAGGCCCCGGAGAATCCCAGGAGAAAACGCCTGTGCGGCAGGAGGCCGACCTCCCCGCACAGGTCGCAGGCGAGCAGCCGACTGGACGGCACCTGCTGGGCCCTGCGCGGCAAGTCAGTCGATGTCGCTGCTTCTGGCGACACTTCCCCGCAGAACCAGTGATCCCAAGACACTCCTGGGGAAAAGCACGCACCCAGCTCGCTTGGAAACATCTGCCCTGCGGCGGCCTGACCACGGGCCTCTACTGTCCAGGCCACTCTGCAGACTCGGGGTCTGGCCCCCTCACTGTGCACGACTCACACTGCGAGTGTGTCCAACAGACAGGCAAATGGACAGAGGCCCCTTCTCACCAGCGCTGGGCACGTGTAGGGGCAGGAACCACAATGAGCAGGTTTTCTGACCCAGCAGACCGGGTAAAGGAGGAGTCGGAGGCCTCAGTGGTTTCGCAGGTCTTTTATTTAGATTTACCAGGCACGCGGCAGGCAGGGGCGCTGGGGGCCCGGGAGGCTGGCAGGCCCCAGCCCCCAGCAAGTCCTCACTCTATCTGGGCCCTCTGGCGTGCTCTCCGCTTCTCTTCTCTCGGCTTCCGTTCGTTCTTGGCTTCTGCTGGCGTCCCCGTGATGCCGCCCTTATAAACTCAGTCTCTCAGCCCAGGTGTACCCACTGCAGGTGCCGCCATCAGGCATGCACTCAGGACCACAGGGTTCCCTCATCCATCCTAATGGTGGGAGGGCAGAAAAGCCTGATGCTTTTACCTTCCCCTACAGCATGGCTCTGCCCTGCTGGCCATCTCCAACCGCCGTCTTGGCACCGGGCATTCCCCTGCAGCACATGAATTGGGCTGCAGAAGATAAGATTCGATGAGGAAACACAAACACGGACTTAGAAACGTCCTGGGTGATTCTTCCTGGCACCTCTCACCTGCCCAGAGTGGGGCGGGGCCAAGGGGAGGAGCCTGAGGCCCACCCACCATGACCAAGGCCCCGCTGGCCACGCTCACCATCTGCTCACAGTGGGCTGCTTCATGCTATGGGAGGGACCCGCGCCATTGCACCCCAGATCGGTCCATAGCACCTCAGCACACACTCCACCCACCCGGACACCAGCAGGTCAGCAGCCTCGCCACCCTAATGTGGACTCTCCTGACACTGCAGGCCCACCCGCGTCACACCACTCCGGCAAGACAGCTGCGCCTCCTGGACACCGTGTGAGCGGACAGACCAGGAAGAGGGGGTGGATCCAGAAGCCCTGACTCTTCTCATGCGGACAGAAAGGGCACAGATGCTTTTGGGGTCCTTGAAGTCGCTTTATTTGACAGGTTGAAATTCATGTATAATGAAAATATTTTAAACCATACATATTCATAAGCATAATACAAACACCACCTACAATACAAACACATTTTAATAAAGTTCTGCTACGAGTATTAACCTAAGCCCAAAAAATAAGGAATCAGGCAAACCTTGCTACACCTTCGTCTCTTTCAATGACGTAATCAAACAATTTAAGACCACAAAGAAGCTTATGCTCGATCCTACTGACTCACCTAGAGGAGAGGACGCGGGGACATACACCACCAGGATTACAAACCCGACCCCTTGAGAACCAATTTAAAATTGCTATAAGGATTATATCTTAATGGCATGTAAACATACTTGGGTTTCAATTGGCAATTATGTTTTAAATGCTTAGAAAAACACACCAACATTTCTCATTAGTGTTCTCTCCTTAGCTCATCTCTTCCGTGAATATAAAATAGGGAAAAAATATCATTTGAGACTTCCAGCATAATTTCATTGTGCTTTATATTTTTATAAACATGGGTACATCTAAAATATCAGATGCCTTTATACCAATAGAATAAATCCACCAAATTCACATTTTCTTATAAACACACATGCAAAATCAGTGAAAAACTTTAGTATAGCAAAGACCCTGCTTAGTTTTCTTCTGATGAACAATTTTTTGATGCAAATCACACTGCTCACGGGACAGCAGGTTGATGTCCTGGAGGTTGGCTTTTCTATAAAAATATATTTATTCGCTCACAGGACAACATGGGGTTGGTGTGACTTTTGGATACTTCCTTCCATTACAGATTGGTTGACGAAGTGAAAAGGCATCTTAGCTTTGATCGTTTTCAAATTTTTCTTCATAAAAAAGAACACCCTGTGACGACGGAGAAGGTACGTGAGGCGACATCAGCACTGGAGGGTCGAGAGGGGTCGAGCAAAGGGCCTCGGGACAGCTAAGGGCTATGTACAGACCAGCGCTGCGGCGGCCGGGCCTGGCCAGGACCCCTCATGGGCGGCCCCCCCAGCACCCACAGCGACGCATGCAGATCCAGGGGTGGCAGGGAGCCCCTCGCGTGCCCACCCCTCCCCTGCGGCAGCCTCAGGGAGGAGGAGCCTCAGGGGACACGAGGGCAGGCCCGCCTGGCCCACTGGCCTCCTGCCCTCAGACATGGGCGCAGAGGCCGGGCGGCCCCTCTGACCTGCAGGCCTGTGAGCCCCCGCCAGGCCGAGGGCAGGAAGGGGCACCGGGTGGCGGGAGGACGAGCTCAAAGCCCGGACTTCACTCCGCGGTGGCTGCAAACTGGTGGCTCCTCCCGGTGACCTGGGGGCTTGGGGGCTGACTCGGGCGCTGGCAGAGCCGCCCGGCCAGGCCCCCGCTGCCGGACCCCGCGGGCAGTGTCCATGGCGCTGGCCTGACCCACAGAAACAGCACAGAGCATGCGAGGACATGAGAACACCGAGGGGCTGGCCTGCAACAAGGCGACTGGGGTCGCCCGAGACGCAGCTGGAAGCTGCGGTGGGGCCAAGCCCTGCGGGGTCTCCCCGCCGCCCACCCGTCCGGGCTGCACGCTCTGGGCCCTCTCGCTGGCGTTTGAGAAAGACGCGCAGCCACGTGCCAGGAAATGCGGCCCGAAACGTCGCCGACGGGGACAGGAAGTCGCAGCTCGACCCCACCAAGGGCGTGCGTGGGGGCGGCTCCCTCAGTGTTTGCACGACATTTTATCCTGAGCCCGCTGCGAAGAGCGATGTGAGGACAGAATCCAGGTGCTGCTGGGTCTCCCGAGGGAGCCTGGTGTGACGGGCCCTCGCCTCTGACACCCGTGGGCCCCTGGCCCACAGATGCGGGGAGGTGAGCGTGTGGGGCCGAGCCGGCCCGGCAGGGCCAGGTCACAGAGATAAAATGTACAGATTCCGGATGAGAAATTGCCAGAGTCACACTCGGTGTCCACGTCCGTCTCCGGGCAATGGTCCGAGCTCAATAAATACGAGTGGACGGTCCACCTGTGGCGTCTCCTGCTGACCAGGTAAGCGGCACTCTAGTCTGCGGCCATCCAGGACAGTTGGATGAGACACCCAGAGTCCCCTTTACACGGTGAAGGGCGGACGCGACCACCGCCAGCCGCGCGGGGGCCAGGCAGGGCCGGTGCCCTGGACGTGGCTGAGCAGACCTAGGGCCGGGCTGTTCCGAGTCCGCCTCTGAGCCCCTGGAGCAGCGAGGGCGCGGCCTGCGGGGCAGGGCTGCGGCTGTGCAGCCACCTCAGTGTCCTCGCAGGCTGTCCAGCCCCCTGCAGACCCGGCCTCTGCCCACTGGGCGGTGCTCCTGCGCCCTGGCCGCAGGGGCAGGCTGGTGCGGGCCAGCGCTCACGCCCGCAGGGGGAAGGTGGCCGTGGAGCTGCCCGTGCTGCCCACTGAGCCCTTCTCCTTGGCGCCGGCATAGGCCCCGATGAAGGAGCCGTCCTCCCCGAAGAGCCCGGGGCCGCCCTCCCCAAAGTCCTCCAGGCTGTCGGCACTTGGTGCGGCCTGCAGGTCCCGGTGCAGGGAGCGCAGGCTGCCCTTCAGGGGCTTCTCGTCGCTGTCGCTGGAAACACACACGGGGGCTGCACCAGGAGCACAGGCGGGAACCCCACTCCCCTCTTAGCTCCCCACACACCCCAGGCCTGGGGCGCCCCTCCACCCCAGCTCCCCACATGCCTGAAGCCCAGTCATGAGCCCAGGGCCTCTGCACGCAGTGAGCAGGCAGCGCTGGGTGGGGCCGGGCCAGGAAGGCGCATGGGCGGGGCCAGGGCCGGGCTTTTCTGCCAGAGGCCAGCTGAGCAGTGAATGCTTAACAGTTCCAGAAGAAATGGAAATTGCTACTGGATGGGGGCACACGAAGCGGGGGAAGCTAGCCCTGCTACTGAGGAGCCTGAGCGTGGGAGGCCTGAGGTCAGGCCCCCTTCAGGGCTGCCTGAAGGGAGAAGCCTGAGGAGGTGCAGGGGCCGGCTAAGCCTCCCTTCCTCCCCGAAGCCTGCCCGGGCAGAGCCAGCTGCCCCCCAGCTGCAGTTTCATTAAGCAGGTATTGACATGCTGCGTCCTCTGCACACCGTGTCCACCTTCAGGGCAGGGCAGCGCGTGCCTCATGTGCCTGGCGCACAGTAGGGACACAGCATACTCGTGCTGCAGAGGGAGGCCAGCCCGCCAGGAATCCGGGTGGAGGGCAGCTCCGCCCCCGTGGGGAGTCATGGCGAGCGAAGAGGGGCCTGCGGCCAGCCCAGATCCCAGGGCTGAGACCTGCCCTCACGCAGAGGTGGCCCTGCCAGGAGAAGGGCTTCAGGCCCTCCAGGGGTGTCTGCGGCCCTCCTGGGGGCAACCCAGCCATGCGGCCTGTGGCCCTGGAGCGGGTCTGCGCCTTCAGGCGGAGGCAGGGTTACCTGTAGTCACCGAATGTCTCATCCTTCGCTGACTGGACTTCCGGGTCCGGGTGCAAATCCTCCTTTTCCTTCACTGTGGAGAGAGCGAGCGGCATGGGCGGGCAGCAGACACCCCCACAGGCCTGGGCTGGGGGCCAGCGGGCGGGAGGGCGGCTGCTGAGTTTCGCGTTACAACTCAGTCAGGCCCCAGCCCAGGGCACTTACCCGAGTACTTCCCGCCCTTGTTCCTCCGCACGAAGCAGATGGTCAGCAGCGTGAGCGTGAGCAGGGCCACGGCACACATGAGCCCAATGAACCAGCCCTGCGAGGCGACGTCCCCGTACAGGCCACCGTGCTCTGCCGGACAGGGGCGCGGTGAGCAGGGCCAGGCGCCCGAGCACATGCCCGACGCGCGAGGAAGCCCGCCGGGTCTCCCGGGGACGCGGTGGGACATGCGGGGCCTTCCCGGCTCGGGGCCCGGGTCTGTGCTGGCGGCCGGAGAGGCCCGGGAGGCTGGAGAGGATGGAGGCCAGAGGCCGGGGAGGCCGGAGAGGATGGAGGCCAGAGAGGCCGGGGAGGCCGGAGGCAGGAGAGGCCGGAGGCCGAGGCGGTGGGGCCAGGGCTCCGCTGGCTCTTTAGTGTGGGTTATTAGCAGGCGTTAGCAGCGAGCAGGAGAAACGTTAGGCAGCAGCAGCGAGGGGGTGGGACCTCGGGGGGACACCTGACATGCTCCCCCAAACTATCGAAAGTGGCGCTGCCCGGCACACGTGCACGCATGCCCTGGCCTCTAACGCGGGGCTGCGCGTCACCACCTACAGCACAGACGCCCAGGGCTGCCCCGAAGGCCGTCTCGTTTCTCACCTCTCCCTCGCGTCTCAATTACATCTTCAAAAATGCTATTGTTATCCACCCAGTTCTTAGTCACTAGGCGGACTATGTGCTCAGCTCCCGGCTCAAATACCTCTACTGGACGGCTCTTTTGAGTAAGATTTACTCCTTCTGACATCTTCCCGATACTTTTACCTAAGAAATGCACACAGTTAATCATAGAAAGTGCAGCCGTTGAAAAGCAGGACAGCAACGGTAAAAAAATATATATTTGACATGAGTGACAGAACCGCCTGGAGCCTTCCCCTAGACGGCTCTTAAACTCTCGGGACATGCAGAAAGTCAACATCACAAGGCTTTTCGAAAAATCGAGTAAATGAAATGAGCTCATGTCTCTGCAGACAGATGTGCGTGGGTGAAGTGGGTCTCTGCCCTGAGGGTCCCGTGGGTGAAGTGGGTCTCGACCCCAAGGTGTACCTGGAGGAAGTTGGCCCCTACCTCTGCCCGCACCATGTGCAGTCGGAGCCGACCTAGATGGCCAGCCCACATGGGCCCCGGGAGCCCGGGGGGCACTGTGGTCTAGCTACGTAGGACTTAATTTTGCTCTGGACGTCTCCACAAACATGGAAGAAATAATGCTGTGATATGGTCGTTGGCTCAACATTTGGAATTTGGGAGCTTGAGCTCCATCAAATGCAGACTTGTAGGTGCATTTAAATGAGATGGTTCTGTGAGGTTCTGAGAGCTTTGTGAAAACCAACACTTCTCAAAAAGGAATCACAAATATGCTAATCTAAGAATCTTAGGACCCACAGGAGCAAATAAAAATGAGCAAATATAACTAAATATACATGTAATTTCTGATCTTGCTGCAGAAGGTCTAAAATACTCGCACTGGGTCCACGGTTTCGCTAAGAGCCCGCTTGAGATGGTAAATGTAAACTGGGAAATGTTAGCAATTTATACGGAAAATAAAATTTACTACTTGTGGAGGATATTGGGGGGTGTCGGACTCTCCTTTAAGCGGGCACATGTCACACCACACTGCAGATGCGGCTTTCGCCACAGGACAGAGTGGATGCTACAGTCCCTGACCGCCAAAGCCTTCTCTCGAGAATGGGGCCTGGGAGACCAGGCCGGGCACGTTAGCTGAGCAAAGCCGGACGCTGAGCACCCCTGGAACAGAACAGCGAGGACGCAGCCCGTCTTGACTTGTAAAAGCAGAATGTTAGTAGGATGTTAAGTAGTGAAAGCTTTTGCAAAGTAGAGCGAAGTCAGTGTTTTGTTCCAGCCAATCACCACACAGAATGCTTTGATCAGCCCAGTCCCCTGCTCTTTACCGAGCAGGAGCTGCCCAAACCGGGGGCACTTGCGAGTCGGCCGTGTGGGCAAGTGAGGGGAAGAGGGGCCGAGACGCGGGCCCAGCGCACACGGAGCCATCGTTTTCACAGTGTTTGGGGGAAGGTGCATCTCCTCGGTGGAAACACACGTTGCTCCCTTTTCAAGACCGTGCTGAAACCGGTGGGAAGAGACTTCTGTGTCCTCTGGAAACATGGCACAGATGCCACAGACACCAGCATGGTGGGGGAGGGCACCGGGGCCGGATTGCTGGAGCCAGGGCCCTGGCCGGGGCAGGTGCACCCTGTGAGTCGCACACTGAGACCGACCGGAGGCGGCCGCTCCTTTAGCACACGGCCCACATGGCACTTCCCACCGGCCCGCCAGTGTGGAGGTGCAGCGCTCCCCAGGCCCGGGGCCCTTGGCAGCCTCAGCCAGGAGCACGGCTCAGCGTCCCGCTTGGCATGTCCGGGCTCTGCCCACGCAGCCATGGGAGGGAAGCGGCAGGCCCATGGCTGCCGTCCACTGCTTTTTTAAAAAAATATTTTCACCACTTGACAAGGGTTTGAAGTCTCAGAAAATCAGCTCCTCTCAGCTCCTGGCAGTTTCCATCACCCCCTTCCGTCTGACTTTCAGGAGGAGATAAGTGAGTTCTCGTTCACTTGGCACCTGATTCGCCCTTAGGAATAATTTGTGGGATTATTTCGGAGAAACTTGGAATATATGCACTTTTCCCGTAAAGGGGAGTTCTGGGTATGTGAAGAACCCGACTTCAGCTCGTTATTACTTAGGCTCAGCAGGACAAACAAGCAGAAGGGTGGAGCTGGCCCGAGGCTGAGCGCAGCCGACCAAGCTGAGAAAGATCTGAAAAGGGAACTGCAAAGAGTTCTGAGTCGAAAAAAACAGAAAAACACAGTCGAATCAGGGAACCGCACCACCCCCCGGTGCCCCGCCAGGTACTCACTGCCTTCCCCCAGCGTGGCGCCTTCCTCCGAGACCGGCTTCCCACAGCCCCGCGCGGTGCAGGCCCGCACGTAGAACTTGTACTTGGTGGTGGCGTTGAGCTGGGAGAGCCGCCAGCTGGGCTGGGCAGGGGCCGTGATGTGGACGTCATTCAGCTCCCCCACTTCGTAGGTGCCGTTGACTAGGGAAGGAAACCCAGGCGCTGGCCGGCCGTTGGGCCTCCCCGAGGGGCGTGGTGGGTGCTGAGCTGCTGCCGCCGTCCCCGTGCTAGAATCTTGGGCTGACCGCCCGTGGGCCAGGTCCAGGTGGGCACACTGAGCCCGCTCATGGACACCGCCTGGATCTGAGCCCGTGACTGCGACTTGGGTCTGGCCTCAGGTCACAGCCACCAGGACCAGCGCTCATGGCCTCCAGGGCTGAGCAGCCCGGCCCTGCGCCCCTGGGTCAGGCCCCCAGCACCCAGCTCATGCACTCGGTGTGGGGAACAGTCCTGTGCTCTGGTCTCTGCGTCAGCACATGCCACCAGGAAGTGCTCGTCACACAGAATCAAACTCACTCCCAAGTCAAACCTTCCCAGCAGCCGCTGGTCAAGCACCACATGAGGTGCTGCCTTCAGAGGACCCTCAGCCTGTGCCCAGGGCCCGGCCTGGGACACCCCCGGGGCCCTGCAGACTCTGCGAGAAGGGCCAGACAAACACCTGCAGCCTCCTCCCAGATGCACCCGCCCGCCACCTGCAGACAGTGACACAGACACCGAGTGGCGAAGCCGCATCACCAGCCTTCCCAGAGCAGAGAACTCTCCCGCAGATGCCCCAAAGCCTGCCAGGGCTCCCCCAAGGCAAGGACCCCAGAGCTCGCCAAGCAGGTATGGGCGCGGCCCTCACTGGTCTGGTACTGCAGCAGGTAGCCCGTCAGGTTTCCGTTGCGTCTCCTGGGCGGCCCCCAGGACAGGGTGGCCGTATCCTTGTCCACCTTGACGACCTTGAGGAAAGTTGGCTGCTCAGGCACTAGGAGATACAGACAGGACAGAGCCCGCCAGTGAGCCTCAGGCAGCCCCGCCAGGCTGCGCTCTCGCGAGACCAGATGCCCCCATGCAGCTGCCTGCCAGGCCCCGGGAGGTGGGGTCTTTGGGGGAGGCCAGGTGGGGAGGGTGTCCGGTGGGCCACATCACCCCAATTCTGCAGCCCGTGCTCACCTCCTTCTGGGGTCTGAAACACGAAAGGCTCGCTCTCCGGACCAGCTCCTCTGGAGTTGAAGGCCAGGACCGTGAGGTGGAACTCGCTGAAGGCCTCCAGGGAGGGCACGATCCCCGAGGTCCTCTGGCCCGGGAACCTCAGAATGTTGACTTCCTTGGGGTGGGCCCTCCCGTCCACCAGGCTCCGTGTCTTCCACCAGTTCACCTGCAAGGACAAGAGTGTCCTATCTGCCGGGCGGTCTCGGCCTCTCTGGTCAGTTCTGTGGTGGAAGCTGCCCTCTGGCTGCGGGAGGGGGGGGCACGCAGACCTGGTACCCTCGCAGACGTCCGTGGACTCGGTCCTGGGGAACTGCGGACCAGGTCACCTTGGCGAGGCTGCTGTTGACGACCTCCACGCCCTGGACTGCAGGCGCCGCGTCGGGATCTGAGCGAGAACCACAGCAGTCAGCACCCCCTCAGGTCACCCCCCTTACCCAGACGTGGCTCTGTCTAATCTGAGGAGAGCGTGTGAGTGAGTCCACCCCAGAAGGAATCAACCGAGTCCTTAACACAGAGGGGCTCCGGGGAGGTGGGCTCCGGTGGACACTGGGCAGCAGCGGGGCCAGATGAGTGCCTGCCCAGCTCTCGGGCCATGCCCAGGGCAGACTCAGCCCTCCAGGAGGCTGGACAGAGGGGTGCTGCTAGCAGGTCCCCACCTGCCCCCCGAGGTCACGGCCCCCAGAGCCGGCGGTGTGCCCAGGCCCACTCACAGTCCTCTCCCGAGTACAGGGTCACGGAGGGCGGCTCTGGGCCCGCGCCCAGCTGGTTGATGGCCTGGACCTGGACCTCGTAGGGCGCGTAGACCGCGGACGTCATCACCCGCAAGGTGTGGTTGGTGACCGTCTCCTCCCCCCACTCCACGGAGGCACCCTGGGGCTTCCAGGTGACTCTGTACTCCAGCCCCGGCCCGTTCTGCTCCATGGGCTTCAGCGGCTGAAAGAGAAGCCGGCTCAGCTGGGCCTCGCAGCCACAGGGGGCCGCCATGGTCAGGGGCTGCTGCCGGGCTCACACCCCTTTTGGTGTGGCCACAGCTGTGGAAGGGCCTATCCTTAAGTGTGAAAGTCGGTTGCTTGCCAGCCCAGTGGTGGGAAACCCACCTGGAGATGCCAGGGCTTGCCTGTGTTAAGTCTAAGAATTTACTACGAGAACCCCCCGGCTCTAGTCTTCAGTGGACTCTGTACTCCAGCAGTCCGCACCCAGAGAGCGAGGCTGGAGAAGGCCCTGGATCGGGTGGTGAGTGGGGCCCCCCGGGGGGCGTCCCAGCCACGCCTGCTGACCTGTGCCCACTGCTTTTGCAGTGTAGGAATTTATTTTATTTAATTAGCGGAGGAATTTCTATATAGGAAATGAGTTGTTTCCACGCTCATCTTGACTGGAACAATACTTAGTTCAGCCATATTCCTGGAATCGAAGCACCTGTTTAACGTCACCAAAACAGGCTGTGCGCTCAAGTGAGTTCAGTACCACTTGGCACATCAGGGAGGGTCTGAGCAGCCCCGGGTGGTGAGACCCTCCAGAGGCAATGATGTCTGTGCGTGAGTCCTCCGCCATCACAGAACAGGCCCTCCCGGGTCTGCTCACCCCTTGACTAAGTCTGTTGGCTGAAACACTTAGCAGGAGCGTGAGTTGGAGTGAGGCTGAAAGCACAGAGTGGATTTCAAGTGGATTTCAAGCTCACGTCTCCCCCAAGGCGAATCAGTAAATCAGCCGGGAGGAAAAGTGCAAACACATCCTGAGATCGCCGCAGCCCCGCGATGCTCCTCCGGAACCTCTGCCCAGGCCCCACCCCGAAGGCGCAGTACATGGGCGCTGGGTGCCCCGGGCGAGGCAGGCACCCGCAGCTAGTCTCCCGCACAGCCGGGAATCACCCCGGAATCACCGTCCCCTTCAGCCCCTGCTGACGGACACCATTTCCCGGCCTGTGCTAGGCTTCCAGGGCAGCAGCACAGGGACAAGCTGTTGCGGAGCCCAGGGGACCCGGGCCGCCTTGGGGACATTCCCAGAAGAGTCCTATAAAACTCCCGGCCTCTGGGTGGCCAGGCTCCTGGACAGACAGCAGGAGCAGCCAGTGTGGCTTTCAGACAGTGGACCGCGCGGGGCCTCACAAATTCTCACGCGCCCCCAACCGCGATGGGCGCAGAGGAACAGCGGTGGAGAAGGGCCACCAGCCTCCCCATGCAGCTGCCAGCAGGCGGGGTCTCACCAAAGGTGGCTGTGAACTTGGGGGGCAGGACTCCACATGGCCCATGGACATCTCCAGGGGACCCAGGAAGCCCACGAGCTTGTGAGTCAAACGCCCGGCGTCTAATTTCCAGGGACACCCGTGCTTCTGCTGTCCCAGGGCTCTATGGACAAAGCCGGGATTGGACAGGCCCAGACCCTCAGTGCCCTAGACCCACTGGAAAGAGGCAGCGCCCTCGTCATCCATGACGTGGGAGTAAGACCCTCTACGCATAAAACACTGTGCCTGAAAGCACCGGGCAACGGAAGAAATTCCTGTTCACCAAACGTGCGTGGGTTGGTGTGTGTGTGTCTTTGAGATTAGAAATTAACCACTTATCACCGTTCAAATTCAACATGAATGTACTTAAGAATAAGAAAAAAAGGAAACGTCAAGCCAAAGTCACCCGGAAGAATGGACTAGCTGTCCAGGTCACAGCGGCCCTGACTCCGGTGAAGGGCTGAGACATTTCATGCTGAAGACCTCGACGTGACAGCGAAGTCCATGGGTAGGAAAAGCGAGATTTAGAAGACGGTGCCGGCCAAGAAGCGAGTTCTGTCGTAGTCAAGTCTTAACAAAAGTGACACTTTTAAAATGTGCATAAGGGTTAACACAGCACAAGCTATAAAAACAATCGCTACGCAACAGGGCATGAGCGGAATAAGAGAACTAGCAACAATCTCGGCCAGGCCAGGATGCCCCCCACGCGGGCACACTCAGCGCTGCTACAGGCCTCTCCCTCCACGGACCTCGGTGGCAGGATGGTCCTGCGAGCTTGCCGCTGTCCTGTGAGGGGGGCACCCCGGAAGCTCAGAGCAGAGTGCTCTCTCACCTCGCACGTAAGCTAGGGCCCCCCCCCCCACGCTGCTTTTGACTCATGCTTAATGCTAAACAAACCAAACACCAGGTGGTCCAGTCTGTCCTCCTGTCTGTCTGTCCTGCTAGTCCTCTCGGGAAAGTTGGGCTTTCTCAAACTGCCTCTCTCTGACCAGCATCAGCTGGTCAGGAGTTGCCCTGGAGGCCGTCTCTGGGGGCGGGGCAACCTCACGTTGTTTTGTGCCTAAAGGTGCATCGTTCTGCACAGAGAACAGGACGCTCCTGCTCTGCAGTGCACAGCGGCTGTTGACCCTGGGCTTGGCGCCGCTGCCATGCCCGTTGTCTCCAGGAGCTGACTCAGGCTGCCTGTGACCCTAAGAAACAGTTGACAGGGAATTCCCACCTCGCAATAACCAGGAGTGGGGGTCCTTAAGGTCCCCGGGTGCACCCACAGCACTGGGGCACATACGGACCCTACAGGTCAGGGCAGCTGCCTCCCACACCCCTCCAGCGACGACTGAGCTGCCTGCATCCGCTCTCAGACGCTGGATGCGCTTTGCTGACGGAATCCATTATTCCAAGAGAACATGGGGTCGGTCTTGGGCATCGTTGGGGGAAGGGGTGAATCAGGAGCAGAAGGAGCAATGAGAAGTCTGGGGCTCCCCCTCTCGTTATTGCCTCCCCTGGGTCTGGGCAAGCCCAGGAGCTCGGAGCATCCTGGCTTCTCTTCAGAAAAGTGAGGCTGGTCCCTTGGGCTGCTGGGCCCCAGCTGGAGCTGAGGCCCCAGGAGGAAGGTGGGTGGGACTGGTGCTTGCTGGGGTTTGACCTGTCACCTATGTAAGTAGCATCATCATGTAGCCGTGATGTCGTCTACCTGACGGGAACTTGTCTGGGGCTTAAAAGAGAATAAAACAAATATCCTACAAGAAGATGCTGACATCACATCAGACTGAACTAAGCAATTATCAAGACAACGAGGTTGCAACTATTAGTATTTATGGCCCAAATTCAGGGGAAGAATAAAATTCTGAATATATTTAATTTCTGTGCATTACCATTTTTTTCAAAATTGAAAGTTGCAAAACTTAATTGAAATGAGAGCAAAAGGTTAGTGTGGCTATAAAAAAATGTTTACCGAATATCTCACAGAAATGGACCCTGTGACTATGCAATGAGAACGGAGGACAATACATTAGGAAAGAAAATCAAACCCGACTTTATACGTTCTAGAATTTTCCCAAAAATCACATTTGGAATGAGGTATGGAAATAAACCAGCCTTTCCAGACACACACTCAGTTTCTTCTGTTTACATGACATCCAGGGAGTTCAACGTCGAGGGGCCACTGTAGGCCTAATGGGGAATGCCAACCTGTGACTACCTTTGTCCCCAGACGCGTCCAATGCAGAGGGACAGCTCCCCCGGGTGCAGGAGCTGAGGCCTGGCCCTGCACGGTGGACGCCCTGAGAGCAGATGGAGCTCTCTCGCCCCACGCAGAAGAAAGTCTGCTTCATCGCCTCTAACAGCTGCCCGAGGGGCGAGGGGCCTGCAGCCAGGGTGGCCGCGAGAATCTGGTCTTGCCGGTCTCTGGTTGAGTGTGCCAGGCAAGATGGCTGGTCACCCTGGCCGCAGTTTCTCCAACTGCAACCCACTCTGAACCATGCTCCTGGACCCCTCAGAATTAGAAAGGGGGCGCCAGAATTAGAAAGGGATGGAAACTGTCAGTGATGGAGCGCAGTCCCGCCAGCCCACGTGGGCTTTACATTACTCAAAGCTGTTCCCGATCGCCCAACAGCCAGCCCCACCGTCTCGCAGGCACGTGCGCAGAATGGACTCATGAGAGAAACAGTCTCGCTCCTAACAGGCCCTCAGCAAGCAGACCGCGGAGGGGGGGGCCGGGCCGCCCCAGGACACGCACCTCCCACCTGATGAGCATCTCCTTGGGCTGAGAGGCCTGGACCCGGACGTTCTGAGGGTTCCTATCTGGAGCTGAAAAGTCACAAGCATTAAAGTCACGTCCCCCACGACATGGTCTGTCGGGAGCCATGGCCTCAGCCCCTCCCGCGGGAAGCAGACGGAGGCCGCCGTGCTGCTTCTGTCTGTGGCCGTCCCCCCAGCCCGGCTCCAAAACAGGCGGAGAGCAGTGTTGTTCCAGCTTCCTCGAGACACGCACGCCCGCAGACCCACGGCGTGGGCTTGGGTGTGCGACACGGGACACGGGCAGTGGACGTGCACACGTTACACTCGCAAGTGCGTATGCCCAAGCGGGCAGCACAGTGAGCCCAGCCGGCACATCCTCCCTCACAAGGCAGCTTTAATATATGTTTATGCTTTTTTTTTCTTGAGTGAGTAGCCTGCGTCCCCGGAGCTCTGTAACTCCTCCTTCGTGGAGAGTGGCTGGTCTGCTTCCTGTATCTAAATTTTAAACCTGCTCTTTGTATTTTAAAATCTGCTTTTTAAAATCTTAACCCTACTTTAAAAACGTTTTGATTTAAAATTTGCTTCTGGTTTTCCATTAGATTTCTTGCTAGAAATGCATCCAGCGACTGTTATCTCCACGGGAGCCGAGTGGAGCACCGGGGGCTGACACTGGAGTTTCGGGGGGCACCGCGGGGCAGGCGCAGCTCCGGGCCGAGGAGCTCCAGGCCGCTCTGCGGAAGGTCTAGGTGGGCATTTAGTCCCCGGCCAACCCGCTGAAACCCCACGAGCGTCGGGTTCCCTGACGCCCCCACTGCTCTGCTTGGCCACAGCGCGGGCCTGGCGGGCAAAGGGGCGCCCTGGGATCTGGACCCACCCTGGAGGCCGCGCACCGGATGCGTGAAATGCCCGCCGTGGGGCGAGGGAGACGTGGCGGGCGGCAAAGGGCCGGCGTCCCGTTCCGGAGCCGGCTCTCCGCGGATGTTCCCCGGCGGCCGGACTGCGGCCCAGCGCCTGCCCGCCCGCGCCCACCTGCCGGCCCCGCCCGCACCGGCCCTGCCCGCCCGCGCCCACCTGCCGCTCGTGCCCACCTGCCGCCCGCGCCCACCTGCCGGCCCCGCCGCCGCCCGCCGCCCGCCCGCCGCCCGCGCGCCGCGCCCGCGCGCCCCCTGCCCGCCCGCGCCCACCTGCCGTCCGCGCCCACCTGCCGCCCGCCCACCTGCCGCCCGCGCCCACCTGCCGGCCCCGCCCGCACCCACCTGCCCGCCCGCGCCGCCCCTCCCGCCCGCCCACCTGCCGCCCGCGCCCACCTGCCGGCCCCGCCCGCACCCACCTGCCCGCCCGCGCCGCCCCTCCCGCCCGCCCACCTGCCGCCCGCGCCCACCTGCCGGCGGCGTCTCCAGCGGGTCGGACGCGCGGCTGGGCGGGCTGCAGCCCACCTCGTTGACGGCGCGCACCCGGAACCGGTACCGCACGAACGGGGCCAGGGCCAGCGTGGCCGCCGTCTCCGCGCCCGAGACGCGGGCCAGCTCCGCCCAGCGGCCCGGCTCCTCGCGGTCGCCCTCGAACTCCACGATGTACTCTGGGCGGGACAGGCCGCGGTGAGGCCGGGGCGGGGCTGGGGGGGCCCGCGAGGCCGGGACGTGGACACGGGCCCTCCCCGGCGGGGGGCGGGGCCGGGGCGGGGCCAGAGAGGACGGGGCGGGGCCAGAGAGGGCGGGGCGGGGCCAGAGAGGGCGGGGCCTTGAGGCGGGGGCGGGGCGGGGGCTGTGGGCGGGGCCTGAGGAGCAGGGCCAGTAGGGGCGGTGCCGGCGAGGCGGGGCGGGGCCCGCGGGGGGCGGGGCCTGGCAGGTGCGGGCGGGCGGCAGGTGCGGGCGGGGCGGGCGCCTACCGCTGACCGGGCTGTGGTGGTCGTCTCCCGCCCGCCAGGCCAGCCGCACGCTGCGGTTCTGCGGGTCCGACAGGCGCAGGTCCGCGGGCGGGTCCGGGACGTCTGCGGACAAGACGCGGTCGGCTCCGGCCGGGGGGGGGGGGGGGCCCTCGCCGTCCCCCGCGTCGGGCCGCTGGCGGGGCCGACCCCGGGCGGGCTGGCGCGAAGCTCGGGGCTCCCCTCGCCCCCGCGCCCGCCCGGCCGCCCTGACTTCGGGGAGACGCGCTCCTGGGCGGGCGCGGGCGGCCTCGGGGCGCGGCTGCGGCTCCGCGCGGGGGCGCGTCCCAGGGCGGCGGGGCGGTCCGCGGGCCGGGCCGGGGCCGGGCGGGGCGGGGCGGGTGAGCCGGGCCGGGCCGCCCCCGCCGCGAGTCCGGAGCACGGGCCGGCGCGTTCAGAGGGGCCGAAAGGGCGAGTCCTGGGCGCCGACCCGGAACGCCTCGGCCCCCCGCCGGGACTCGGCAGGCGCCGGCCCGCGCAGACAGCGCCGCCCGCGGGGGCACAGGGGGGGCACGGGGGGGCACGGGGGGGCACGCTGATCGCGCGGCCGGCCGGGCCTGTCCAAGACCGAGCCCGGGCGCGCGCCCCTCCCCCGCCCGCCGCCGTTGCCCTCACCCCTCCCGGGAGGCCGGGCAGGCGCCGCGGGCCGCAGGGGAGCCGGAGCCGGCGGGCGCGCGAGGGCCCGCAGAGGGCGCAGCGCCCCAGTGTCTGTCCTCGCCCAGGACTCGGCTCCACCGCCCGCCGCGCGGCCTCCGCCCGGCCCGACGCCCCCTCCCGCCCCCGACGCCCCCCCCGCCTCCCCCGCCCCCGACGCCCCCCCCCGCCTCCCCCGCCCTCGACGCCCCCCCGCCTCCCCCGCCCCGACGTCCCCCCGCCCCCGACGCCCCTGCCCGGCCCCCACGCCCCCGCCCGCAGAGCAGGACCACCCCACCAAGGTCTGGCCACCCCCGCGGCACAGGACAGCCGGTGCTGCCGCCCCACACCCGTGCCACCCCCACGCCTCGCGGCTGCCCCCCCAGCCGTCTCTGGGGGCCGGCGCTGGGGAGGGGCCGGCGGGGGACGGAACGAGCGGGCAGGGCTCCGCGGTCACTGGCACGCGCCGTGGACGGGAACGTGGCAGGAACGGGCAGGAGCGAGGGCACCGGGGCCACCTACCCATGACGGTCACTCGGGTCACGTCCACGGCGCTGTCCAGCGCCGTGTGGGCCGAGCAGGAGTACGCGCCTTGGTCCTGCAGAGTGACGTTGGACACCGTCAGGGTCGCCCCCTCGATCAGGATCCTGCGGGACAGGGGGCGGGTGAGCACCAGCGCAGAGGGGCCCTGTCCAGCGGACAGCAGGCCTCGCCCGCACTGCAGCAGGCGCCACACCCAGGCTGCCCCAGAGCCAGAGAGGGCCCCCTCCCGCCCCTGCAGGGCCAGCGCCTCCAGAGCTCAGACAGGAGAGAAGGCCCAGGTGGGCCTGGGAGCCACCCGGTGGGGGCAAGCGGGGAAGCCGCCCGGCGGCCTGACTGGCTGTTCCCTTCCCGCCAGCTGCCCACAACTGCCCCCAGGCCTGGTGGGAGCAGGGAGCAGCCGTGCCCGCCCGGCGCCCAGGCCAGTGTCCTGCCTCTCCTCATTTCTGCAGATTTGTAACGAGTTTACTCCAGGAAAATGGCTTTGAAACATAGTCCTTTACGCTCTCCCTCCATCTGCTAACAGGACCATTCAGGCTGTGTTGAGATAAAGTCCATTATATTTAAAACTCAACTCACAGCACCTGTGTGGGTGGACGAGCTGGGGGCCGGGGGCCCAGGCCAGGCGGAGACTGGGGAACCCCTGCTGGACTCCCCCAGCTGCCCAGGGCCTTGTGAGCACCGAGCACCTGCCGTCCCAGGACAGCCCAAGGAGTGAAGAGGCAGCAGCAAAACCATGCGGAGCCCAGGTGCACACCCTGCAGGGCCTTCCAAACTGCCCAGAGGCTGGAGAGGGCCCCGCTGTGTCTGCCAGTGTCCGCACCCCTGCCCAGGCCTTGCAGCCCCCGAGCCCGGCCTGTCCTGTGCCACCCACCTGCCGTCCTCCGTGCCGTTGGCCTCGAAGGCGGCGCCGTCCTTGCTCCAAGTCAGCCTCAGGCTCGGCCTCAGGTGGGCGTCGCAGGTGCTGTGGCAGTGGAGCGCCAGTGTGTGCGACCTGGCCACACGCGGGCTCTGTGGGGACACCTGCAGCAGTGTCGCGTCTGCGTTTACCAGGACAGAGATGCCAGTTAGCGCTGCAAAGCCGTGGGCTGGCTGCATGCCCTGTGAGCTGCCCGTCCCAGCCCCCACGGCGCCCCCGTCCTGGCCCTGAGCCCCGTCCCAGCCCCCACGGCGCCCCCGTCCTGGCCCCGAGCCCCGTCCCAGCCCACGGCACTCCTGTCCTGGCCCTGAGCCCCATCCCAGCCCCCACGGCGCCCCCATCCTGGCCCCGAGCCCCTGCTGTCTCCTCTCCATCCGGCCCCGGCAGCCCCTCACCGCGACGGCCTGCAAGACCAACTATTCTGGACCAGCCCAGAGGACATGCGCGGGGGGGCAGTGCAAGCTGGACTGGTCACTGGGGAAGTGAAGACCAGCCGGACGCGGGGGAGACAAAGCCACTCACTTCTGACGTCCAGGGTGGCGGTGACGGCTGTCTTCCCGCGGGTGTTCTCCACCCAGCAGGAGTAGGAGCCGGCGTCGTTCTCAGTGGTCCTGGGGATGTGCAGGGAGCCGTTCTCGTGGATGAGGTAGTGGCTGCCTTCCAGGGGCTTCGCCGCCTCCACCTTCTGCCTGTGGACGGGGAGCGCTGTCAGCCTGGGGGCAGCCGGGCCTCGTCCTGCACCGACCGCACCCCCAGGCATGGCAGCCGGGGACCCAAGGCCCGTCTGCCGTGGACCCAAGGCCCGTCTGCCCCCCAGCTGCCGGAGCTGCATGGGAACTGGCATGTGGCTCCGTGGCCACCCTGCACCCTCCGGGAGCCTCATAAATCTCCGCGTGTTGACGGGACTCTTAGTTAAGGATCACGGCAGGGACTAAATGGCGGAGCAGTAATTGGAGGACATAATGAGCCCTGCTCCCTCCTGCTGTCCCGGGAGCACATCTGTCACCGGGACACGCTGCGGGCGGGTGGGGTCCCCGCTGCGGGCACGGCCCTGCTCTCACACTCGTCCACTTCCCAGCGCGGCAGCCACAGCCCCACGCGCCCCCATACACCGGACCCAAGGAGCTCCTGCGGCTCCTACAGGGTCCACGGGGACCAGGCGGCCCTCAGAGGCAGCATTTGGGGGCGGGGGGCAAACTGTCAGCAAGCGAGATAAATCGGAGTTGAGCAGACTCTTTAAAAAAACAAAAACGAGCAGAAAATAATCCTCGATGGACTTGATGGCCACGTTTCAGGCAGACGGGTGGGCGCGGCGCGTGTGCCCCCAGGGCAGAGGCCGACCTGGGGCGACCAGGCTCCCCGGGAGGCAGTGGGGCAGGTTGGCCGCGAGCCCAGACCTGGGCATCTGCACAGACTCAAGAAGAGCCCGACACACACAAGAGAGCCGAGCACACAACAGGGGCAGAGGACTCCACGGCCCTGGTGACCCCGACAGCAGCGCCCCACCCGGTGCCTCCACCCGGAGAAGCAGACACCTGGGGAGCCAGCACCCCAGGGACACGCGGCTGTGTGTGCTCCTGTGAGCAGGGGGAACCCGCCCCCACCTGGGGAGGAGGCGACTGAGTCTGCTGCCCTCTCAGAGGCCAGGGGCCGAGGGGCCTGCAAGGACGGGGTCCAGACGCCGTGGCAGCTTACCAGGACACCTCGGCCCTGGGGGACGCAAAGAACTGGCACTGCAGCGTGGCGCCGCGCCCCACCACCGCCTCGTAGCGCTCCTCGTCCGCCGTCTGGATCAGCGGGGCGACATCTGTGCGGAGACAGCGACACACGGCCTGAGGTGCGCAGGGAGAAACAGCTTGCGCGAGCAGCGAGGAGGCTGTGGAGCCCGGACGAGGGGCGTCCATGCCGCCGCTGCCAGGACAGTAAACTCAGGCCCAGCCTGAGGCCACAGGCACCGCACGGGTCCAGAGTCCAGCTACTCTGGGTGTGGCTGGACACCGCCCTGGAGGGCAGGCTGCACCCGCCACGGGCCTCACCCACGATGTCGATGTTGGCGTTGGCCAGGATGGTCCCGTGCTCGTTGGAGGCCTCGCACTGGTACACAGCCGTGTGGTTGGGCTGCAGGTTGGTGAAGCTGATCTCCCCGGGGGACACGACATCCCCAGCAAACGGGTTTTCTGAAAGATTAGGAACGTCAGCCTGATAGGAAATGGGACATAAAATATTTACACCCCATTTCTTAAATGTGTCACATAGCATCTATATTTCAACACCAGTTTAAGATGAGGAACAGCTCGGCGGGCCCAACGCGTCGAGAGCTCCCAACATCAACCCTGGGTTTTCCTTTCTGGACCCATGTACAGTTACAAGCTCCCTCAAATTTGTATTTCTTGCCAAATATCTGTTGATCTCAGCCTAATGCCTGTCCCGGGAGCCCCAGAAGGTGCTGGCGTCTCTGTGAGATGTGAGGGTGTGCATGTGGCCCGACCCCACAACCCTGGGCCCAGCCAGGAGGGGCGCTGGGCCCTGCACCCCCTTCCCTCCCCACTGCAGCATCCTGCTGTCACTGCCCCCGTCCAGGTGAGCACCCCTGGCCCTGCGAGGGCCACTGCCAGGGGCCAGCCCAGCGAGGGGCACCACCTCCACCCCGTTTATCACCCCCGGTTGGCAGGAACAGGGCGCCGGCCACCCCTCGCACAGGGTCTTACTCTCAATGGGGGCACCGTTGACGCTCCAGCGGACAGTGGGTGCCGGCTCCCCTGCGGCCTCGCACAGCAGGACGCCGCTGCTCCCGCTGCTGTAGACATGGCTCTGTGGCCTCCTGGTCCAGCGGGGCGGCTCTGCGGACACAAGGGCATGCTGTGACGCCGCTCAGCGGGGGGCGGCAGCAGAGCCTCCACCCTCGCGCCACAGAGAACAGGCTCTGGGGTGACGCGGCCGCGGAGCGGGACGCTGGGGGTGGGCCAGGGGTGGGAGGGAGGGGTGTGCAAGGTGGGCGTGTCGCACTGTGATGCTGAGCGTGTCCCACCCAGTGCACAGCGGGGACTGATGTGATGACAGCTTGTGGGGTCCCAGCAGAGGGGTCTGTGGTTGTTCTCCAGTGGGGGGCAGACGCCTCAGAGGGTCCAGGGGCATCAGGGAGGCAGAGTTTGGGCATGTGCATGTGTGTATTCGTGCATGTGTACCTGTGTGTGTGTGCATATGCATGTGAGTGCACGTGTGTGCATGTGCACGCCCACATGTCCCGACAAGCATTCAGCACGTGCGACACAGGCACATCTGAGGTGGTTGTCAGGTGGGCTCAGCCCTGTCACCCTGTGGGGACGCGTGTGTGTCTGGAGCTGCAGCTCCTTTTCAAGCTGCGGCAAACATCTGGGAGACTGACCACCGAGACGAGCACTTTGAGAATCTGCAAATGGGTTTGTTGCTCAGCACGTGTGTTAAATGTTTCCTCGGTGCTGCCTTCACCACACTCATCCATCCATGTTGCACCTGCGTGTCACAGAATTTGGGACACGTTTCCCAGAGTTTTTCCTTTTCTGTGAGGGGACAGGTATGCCTGAGGGGGCGCCGGGACAGCAGAGGAAGGTCAGCAGCCCCCCGCCCTGCCCGCCGCGGAGGCGAGGCCTACGTGGCCCACATGACTTGTCCACAGAGTGAGACCCTCTCTGTCATCACTCCGCCGGTGGGGGCAAGGGTGCGGAGGGCCGTGACGCCGGCTGACTGGGCATCAGAGGAGCCGCCGTGCCCACAGCCGTCATGCTGAGCGCTCCTTGTCAGCACCCCAAGACGCTCTGAACCCCATGTCCAATCAGAAAGGAGACTCCGTTCAGATGCGCCGAGCCTAAAATGAACAGTGTCGCTTAAACCATTTTTTCCTAAGTGAAGGAGTCAAAGGGCTGGTTGGCGGGAACGCCCAGGTCACAGGAGCAGCGGAGCCACACGCGGCCCCGGGTTCAGCCAGCAGGAGACGAGGATCCCGAGGCCCATCGTGGTCTCCGGCCTGAGAGGCCGTCACTGGCTTAGGAGGCGGAGATGGTTGGGCTGTGACCGCGCCTGACGCTGCAGGAGCAGGGCCTGGCTCCTGTGTGCTGGCATCTTGGTGTTGTGCTGCCTGTTTTTGTTTTGTTTTGTTTTGTTTTGTCTTTTCATATAATCACGATAAAATTAAGCGTCGGAGTTAGAGAAAAGTGTCCATGGATATGAAAATGCTCACGGTCACTGTGGAAAAGTAAGATGTGTGTGGCAGGAGGCCCTCGCCGTCCACCTGGTGGCTCAGAGCAGAGCATCACGCTCTCACCCTCAGGCGAGCCAAGCTGTGTGCGGGGTCTGGGGGCCCTTCGCAGACACCGTGCCCGGTGCTCCTGAAACTGGCACAGCCACCCGCCCAGGCCACGGGCCGCCACCAGGGCCCTGAGGCAGATGCCGTGGGCGGCGTGCAGGGCCCAGTGGTCACGGTGGCTCCCGGCCCACGGCTGCCCGTTGATCTGATCTCCACTGCAGGTCGGAACCCGGCTCTTCTCTGTATCGCAACTTCCTTTCTGCTCCCAGGTCCAAGTCCCTCCAGCCTGGGTCGATTCACTGGGAGGGTTAGGAGTCCTCGCCTGGCTCAGCCCACCGGCCCAGCCCTGCTCCTGAGCTCCCGGCTCTGGTCTGCACACCTCTTCCCTGCGTCTCCTGGGGAGGGACCTGCCCGAGCCCAGGGGCTCTGGAGAGGCCTGAGCGAGTCCAGCTCAGAACCCTCCTCCTCCGGCCTCACTCCCCCAGATGGAGCCCTTCGCTGGGGGCCAGGCGCTGCCACAGCCAGGGCCCCGGTGGGCGACGCAGCTCTCCCACTGCAGCCTTTACAACAGCCGTCCCGGGGCGCATGGCTGGCTGGTCTACATGGTCTACAGACTGGCCACTTCCCTCCCCGAAGCATCTGCAGGGCCAGGCACTGGGCAGGGCCTTGCTGGTGGGGGTGCTGGGGACAGAGAGCAACACGTCTCCAGGCTGAGAGCACACAGCCCCTCCTGAGGGCAAAGCCAGCCGCAAGGGCCGAGGGGAGAGGGATGGACACTGCCAGAGCAGACGCCACGCGGGTCTCGTCCTGGCCCTCTTCTCTGAGACGCAGGGACTGGCGACTGCCATGTCGAGACTCGGTCCGTGGTCCCAATCGCAATGGAGTGTGATGACGGCTGTCTCTCGTGCTGCTGAGAACTCAGACACTGGGTCTGGACGTCGAAAACAGTCAGCTGATTAGACGCTTCTCCCCTGAAGGGAGGCGAAATGAAACAGGAAATTTGCTGCCTATAAAGCATGCAGCGGAGACTGTTGCTTCAGTAACAGGTTCCTATTAAATATCTGTTTTCTAACAAGTCAGAATTTGTCAGGTCTGTTGTATTTGGGCTTAACTGCAACTTCTTAGAAACAGACTCAACATGTGAAAACACAACATCCTATGAGTGTGTCATGACTGAGCCGCACTAGGGCCTGGGGGCTCAGCGAATGCTCTCCCGTCCCACTGACCGAAAGCTCAAAAGCCTTAACCGAGTCAAAAGTTGACGACGACATGAGCCTTCACTGTGGAATGGTCACGTGGCGTGTGGCCGGCCTCACGCTGATGCCCCACGGGGGGCACCTGAGGGGGTCCTGGCTGTTTCCTCAGGCCCTTACGGGGTGGGGTGGGGTGCGGCTGCTTCACATTGAGCAAGTGTGGCTCCCATTTCAGGATGTGACTGTTTCGTAACGAGGGAGAGAACACGCACTGCTCCCTCAGCCGTGTCTCCAGAGGGCCGAGTCTCAGGGCGCAGGAGCACAGCTCTCTTCCCGGTGGCAGCCCCTTGCTACTTAATTTGAGCTTCTAAGCAAGCAACAGAAACAGGGAAAAAGAAATTACAGACTGGCAGAAGAAGCCGAACAGAAGTGAGCTCACCCATTGAGAAGCGAACCGGGGGCACAGTGACTCTGTCACACTCGAAATAGAGGCTCTTGAGCTCAGCTTGCCTTTCACCGGCAAGTGTGAAGAGAAATCCCCAAACATTCCAGCCAGGCCCCGCTGTTTAGCGATTTCTCATTACAGGGAGAGGATTAAATGTCCCCAATAAAAACATGATTTACATCTCAATAGCGCTAATAGCTGCTTTAGGAGCAGCCAGCACAATTTGTTCAGGAAACCTACATCCCTTCTGAGGGCCACAGTCCACAATTTAAACTGCACAATAAATTCTACATCCTTGATTTTTTTTTTTTTTTTTTGCAACCTTTGCAATTCTTGTGAAAGCTTCAGTCTAAGAGCGAAGGCAAGCGTGGCCAGATTGCTAAGCTATTCAGCTGCCGCAGCGGAGCCCAGCCATCTGGAAGGATTCCGCGCAGTCAGCAGCGCGGGCAGGAGCTGAGGCCCCGGCGTTGTGGCTGGCGACGTCCAAGTCGACGGGACACATCCCGTGTCCTCTTAGTGTCTTCGTGAGTGACTCAGCGCCGTGCGGCCGGGGGCAAAGCGGGAGTGGACAACTCTGAGCTCTCCCCGCAGAGGCCTTGATTTGGCTGAGGCAGGACGACGCTGCTCTGCCCCTGGCACGTGCTTCCCCCAACCATGCCCACGGGGAGCCCTGGACACGCGGCATCGCCCAGGCAGCAGCCTCCAGACAGCCACGGGCACACTGGACGGCAGTGTCGGGCCCCTCTGTCCTTTAACAGGGCCACTGGCCAGGTGCTTCCTGTGCAGCTGAAGCTCTGGGAGGCAAACTTCGCTGGGGACAGCAGCCACGTTAGCACCCCTCCGTGGCCCAGGACCCAGGAGGGGTACTGTGTGTACCACACTGGGCCCCAGAGAGGGACAAAGTTCCCTGCAGCCGGCAGTGCTGGCAGCTGAGCTGTGGACAGGGGCTGCGTGTGGATGGACCCAGAGGCCAGCCTGCCCCAGCAGATCCTCAGGCTGGCCGGACAGTGCCCACCTGCCCAGAGGGTGGCCAAGGGACACCGTGACCCATCCTCAGCAACACCATCACGGCCTGCTCACGCCTGGACTCCAGCATACGAGACACGAACCCCGCAGGTCAGAAGCAGGGGCGACCAGGACACGATGGGCCCTTTGTGCAGAGCCCGTGGCGCGCCTCTCTCCTTCAGTACACACCGAAGGAGTGTACTGACATGGCCGGACATGTCATGTCAACCTGCGTCTAGGAGAGTCAGGATGCATCTAGGAGAGTCGGGATGTTTGTCCCACCCCCCCAGTTGCTGGTGGAGAAACAGGTACAAGAAGGAGAAATGACCACCAGTCGTGAGCCCACCCAGGCCGGGGCCACAGAGCCCAGCCCAGGCCCAGCAGCCCCCCAGCTGGACAGCCACCCACTCCTGCGTCCGGCACAGGGTCTGGTCTGTCCCTGTAGTGGTCCTGGGGGAGATGTGAGCCCTGCAGGGCAGCGCCCTGAGCCTTGAGCCCCATGATCAAGGGGAGGCAGCCGCCACGCCCCCCCCCCCACCTGACGCCTCGTGGCTGAGGAGCCTGCACACCGAGCGCTGAGGTGAGTGGGGAAGCAGCGGGTACCTTCTACCACGACGCGGAAGTCGTGGGTGGCGGCCCCCAGGGCGTTGCTGGCCGTGCAGCGGTAGCTGCCCCTGTCCCGGTAGGAGACACTCTCGATCTTCAGAGTCTTCCCGTAATTCTCCTTGGCCTCTCTCCCCTCCGGCAGGTCGTCCCCTACCTTCTCCCACTCCACCAGCGGGGTTGGCCTACGAGACAACAGGCCTTTCTTTCACGGGAGAGACAAAATGCAAAGGAAAGCCTTGGACGCCCCCCAATGGCAGGCGGCCCTGGGCTCCGAGGCGCCAGCCTTGGGGTCTCCCAGGACGCGCCCAGCCCCTGGGCCAGTGCCTGAGCAAGGACAGAGACACGCAGCTGCCCCTAGAGAGGTGAAAGGTGCTTCCAGTGCAAGCCCTGCGGGCAGCTCAGGCCAGCATCTCACTTCCCGTCTCAGGAAACAGAGGAGGGGCCGGGCCGGAGAGGCCAGGCTGGCCTGATGTTCGGGACGTGGGCCCCGGGGGGCGGCTCCGCAGAGAGCCAGCGCGCTGAGGACACTGGACCCCCCAGGGCAGGCCCTGCGGGACAGGGGTCGGGGGTGCACCCAGCACCGACTAGAGTAACAGGGAGACCAGACAGCCCGGGACAGGGACGGGGTGAGCACCGGGGGAGGAGACGCGGGACGTGGAGTGCAGGCGCGGCCGTGGGTCTGGCTCGAGACCTTGGCTGGCAGGGGTGGGCCGTGGGGTCTGCCCCTCTTGAGGGGAGACACTGAACCTTGCTGAGGTGTGGAGGCGGCTGCCTCGCCCCATGTCTCTCTCCTGAGCAGCTGCGGGCACCGGGTAGGCCTGAGGGGTCCTCACTCCGCTCCAACAGGGAAGGCCCATGGCCCCGGGGGCTGTAACCTGCTCCTGTGCCCAGGCAGTGAGGACCCACAGAGCTCACCCTCGTCTGCCCCAAGCCCGTGCTCTGTGTGCTGTGTGCGGTCACATTGAGGACCTGTCCTCCCACACCTCTCACCGTCCACCCCGGTGAGGTCGGCCACTAGCTAGAAACCAACCCCATGGTCTGTGAGGCCCCTGACCGACGACCCTGGGGAAGAGGACGCTGCCCTGGAGGGCCTCCCCTCTCCGCCTGCTGCACCTCTCGGTCGGGGCTGCTGGCAGAGCCAGCTCCCTCCTGAGCTCCTGCGGGCGGGAGGCAGTCCCGAGTGCTGGCTCTCCGCACCATCTGCCACCATGGCCACATGCCAAGCACAGACTGCGGGACCTCAGTCCTGCACATTGGGGCTTCTCCTGAGTCTGGCCTTAATAGCACAAGCAGCTCACCCTCTGCGGACGGCCTGAGATCAGGCCCATCCTCGTACGCCCACCGGGAGGGGCAGGGCGGGGTGCGGGGAGTCGGGGCTGACCCACGGGGCCAGCAACCCAGAGCCGCCAGCTGTCCCGCTGCTCTGCTGGGTTTTGTTTTTTAGGAACGCTCACTAATGGCACGTGAGCAGCAAAGTCCTGAGGGAAGATGTGCCCACCCTGCACGTGGACCCCCATCTCGGCCTTTGCGGGGTCCTCACCCAGCGCCCCCGCGAGCCTGAGTCCCCGGGAGCATGCACAGCGGCCGGATCAGGTCCCAGAATGGGTGAGAGAGAAACAGCGGGAGCCGACACCTCCTTTTGGGCGGAGACTGAGCTCTCCCCAGTTGCCGCTCGCGCAGGAGAGCAGCAGCTGACCTGGAGGTGGGCTCCAGAGGTCCTAGACCCGCTTGGCGTGGCCTGGCCCTGCCCAGCAGCTGCCACTGGCCAAGCGCGGCCCTAAGAGCTGTGGTCTGAGCTGGACCCAAGTGGTGGGGGAGAGGCCGCCTCACTGGGCCGGGTCAGGACAGCCCCTCCGTGTGGTGTCTGGTTCTAGGACCCACAAGGGACCGAGCGCAGGGGCTCCAGCTCCTCCCAGAGGCCTTGGGAAGGCAGATGGCTCCTCCGACGTGAACAAGTCGGTCCACTGTGTGTTGATGTTGAAGACTGTCTACTGGCGGCTCGGCTGGGTGTGCCAGAGAGTGTAATAGGGTGGTCCCCACCCATTTAGAATAGGCAGGTTTGCGGGGTTTGGGCTGCCCCTCTCCCTGCCCTGTAACAGGAGGACGCGGCCATGGGGAGGACTCGGCCGCTGGGAGGATGCAGCCACGGGGAGGACTTGGCCGCAGGGAGGACCCCACATGGGGAAGCTGCCAGGAGCTCAGCAGGAGACACAGGCGGCAGAGAGTCCCAGGGACTCCTGGCACCCAGGCACTGGGCTGATTCCCGGCTGGCGCCTGTGCTTAGTGGGGAGAACACAGCACCCCCTGCCCTCCGCGCCCCTCCCCCCGCCCCGAGCCCAGGCAGCACTCACAGGCCCTCGGCGAAGCACTCGAGCAGCAGGGTGTGCCCCTTGAGGACGGTGACAGAGGACTCGTGGCCACTCTCCGGGGGAGGCAGGAGCATCCTGGGCTTCCTCTGCTTCATGGAATTCGCTGGAACAGAGCAGACGGGCCCTGAGTGCTCAGACCGCAAGCACAGCCCCAGAGCCGAATCTCCTGCGGACCCGGCCCACAGGTGGGGCTCGTCCCCTCATCGCCCTCCTGGCGGGCCCCTCACGGAGGCCCCGAGGCCTCAGCCACGAGCAGGCCGGCTCCGGGGGCTGCTGGGCTGAGCTGCTCCTTCAGGTCTGGGGTTCAGCAGGGCCCAGGGTTGCTCCAGAGAAGCCTCCTGGTGGGAGCAGAGGCTCAGGCCATCCCCTTGGCCCGGGCCTTGGTGTTGACGCCTGCGAGTTGCTGCTCTAGGGCCTGAGTGTTGCTGAGGTCCCTGTTCTCAGCGCTCTGACTCCCCCGGGGCGTGCAGCTCAGGGCCGATGGGCAGCGACCCCGTGGGTGGTGGCCCCGTGGGTGGCAGGACCCGCAGGGGCGCGGGCACGTCCAGGACAGCACGGCCCAAGGCCCCTCTCCTCGTGTGCTCGTGAGAAACGCAAGCACCAACCAGGAGAAGCCCGCTGTCAGGACAAGGTGTTTGCTCATTTGCAAACTATTTCACACCCAGATCTGGGAAGATGCGGAGGATACGGAGCAGCTGGGTCAACTGGCCCTGACCCCAGCAGAGGGCTCTCCACAGGGGAACACCAGCATTTTAATAGAGAGGGATCGAAGACAAAGGTCGAAGGTGAGATGACAATGAGCTACTGAGGCGAAAATGAGCGACACCCATGAGACCAACTTACCCTTGGGGCCCGCCTCTGCGGGGGGGCTGGAGCCATTAGCATGCTTTACTGAAACAAGAAGATGGAAGAGACACTCACAAACATGATGGCAGATGCTGAATCAACAGAGAAGGAAAAGCACAGTTTTCTCCTAGGAAAAAACGCAAACGAGGCGTGACCACGCGTCCCTAGGACAGCCTCCACACGGCTGGGCCAGCCGGTGAGGAGCGTGGCCTGGAGGGGGCGGCCCGGAGGAGGCGCTGGCTGCGAGAGAGAGGTGGCGCGGGCACTGGGTGCAGGTGGAGGACGTCCACACACAGACAGACAAGGAGACTGACGGATGAGGCGGCGCCCGGCCCCTCACGCTCTCCCCCAGTGGCTTGTCCCACTGGGCCCAGCCCGGCCTGCGGAACCCAGAGGAGTCACTCAGACAGCAGCTCGGGGAGGGCAAGAGCCCGGCTCCCCTCTAGCTCTGGCTTATCCCCTCCCGCGCTCTCAGCCTCTGCGTTACCAAGACCTCAGCCGAGACCTGCTTGGGAGCCCGGAGCCGCATGCTCCCCCCACCGGGAGCCCCCGGCCCCCGGACGCCCCGGGACACGGGCCTGGCTCCAGCCGAGGCAGGTGTCCTGCTGCGGGTCTGGGAGCGAGACCAGACGCCGGGATGCCCCGCCGGCATGAGCGCTGCCCCTGACTTACAGCTGCTGACCGTCAGCTTCATGGGCATCTTCTGCACGATGGTCCTCAGCCTCGGGAAGGCGGCGAAGCAGCAGTAGTCGCTGCGGCTGTCCTTCTCCTCCACGTTGGCGAAGTACAGGTCCCCCCTCTGGCTCATGTACACGCGCTCATCCTGCTCGATGTGCTGCAGGTCTGGGGCACGAGGGGGCACCCACGTCAGGCTCCACCGTGCTGCGCCCTGCTCCCTCCCAACCCCTTCCTCGGGTGCTGCTGTTTTATCTGTGTGTCCACTCCTGCCCTCAGCACGGCCTGACCACGGGGTCGGCGGAAGGGAGGTCAGAGAGCGAGCAAGGAGCAAAGATAAAAACAAGGCCAAGCTCGCTGGGTCCCCTCAGGCAGCTGCCGGAGCTCTGCCCCTCGGGGTCAGCGCAGCCGCAGCTCTTGCCGTGCTCTTAAGACTGGCCTTGGGGTCACACAAACAGCCCGCAGAGGGACTCCACGCTGGGAAAGAAGTGGAGCCATGACTATCCGCTGACGAGATGGTAGAGTCCACGCGGCTCAGAAAGGGACAGAAACCACGGAACGCAGTGGCCACACGCGCCCAGGCTTCCTCAGCACAAGCACACGAGGGGCATGAGAAACCAAGGGGAGCCACTCGCCACTCCAACAAAAATCAGGCACCCGGATGCGATGGGGGGTGGAAGCCCCGCCCAGAGTCACCAAAGGACTCGGGGGACCCGGAGGTGGGGGGACACGGGGTGGGGGTCACGGCCTCCCCGGGACAAGCCAGGGCAATGCGCAAGTTCACTGCAGCCCCCAGCAAAACCCCAGCGACACCTTCGAAGAGTGAACAAAAACCACTGACATTTATATGGAACCACAGAAGCTCCTGAATTGCAAAAGCAACTGTGGAAGGAAGGGTGGGGGGTGCGCGAGGGGGGAGTGTTACCTGACTCCAGGCTCCACCACAGAGTGACAGGGTTAAAGCCGCGCGGCACCGGGGGCACCAGGGGTCATTGGGGGGCACTGGGGGCTCGAGGGCCGGGTTGGAGCCGGCCTGGCGCACAGCTGGACTCCCTCCTCCAGGGACGGCCACGCGTTTGGCAAAGCAAACACGAAGGCGGATGCTGACTCCTCCATGCCGCCCTGCACGCGGACGCAGACGTGCAGAGCGCAGCGGGCGCGGAGACGCCAGCCTCCTCGGGCCCGGGGCCACGGCAGCGAGCGGCCGCCTGGCCAGCCCGTGGTGTCCTCCAACATCCCTTCCTCGCGGCGGCGGCCCCCGTGGGGCCCCGGGCGCCCGTGAGCGGGATGCAGACTCACCGATGTTCATCCAGTAAATGTGCAGCGGGGGCAGGCCCCGGGGAGGGCTGCACGGGAGCACGACCGGGTCCCCCTCCTCCACTTCCAGGGGCTCGATTTTTTCTTTCGGGAATTTAGGAATATCTGGCATAAAAAAGTAAGAATTTAAAATTAGCCTTATGCCACAAGCCATACCTTTACTCACCCATTTTATAAACAATTAGGGCATTTTAGGTGAACTCAGTGCAGCGGTCCTGGCCGGCAGCCCCTGCAGAGGGGACGGCTGGGCGGGCAGCCCTGGACCGGGGGCAGCCCAGCACGTGGGGGCCCAGGCAGCCTAGTGCAGCGCAGGGGGCGGCACAAGTCCCTTGAGGGCAGCGGGGTGGGGGCAGAGTCCCTCGTTCCCCAGGCCACCAGCACTGTCCGGCCTGGGCGCCCCTGGGGACCCTCGGGCCCTGTGGGGTCAGGCGTCCTCGCCGGCTAGGCGGATGCTTCTGGTGAGGAGGGTGCAGAGCCGGCTCCTGCGCTCTGGCCGAGTCTGTGCGTTTCATTCTTAATTTCTGTTGTTTACTCTCAGAGGTTTGCAAAACCACTGGTGAGCACGTACACTCTCCATCTCCAGTGACAGGCACCAGCAGAACTCCTTCCTGGTGGGGTGTCTTTCCCGCCCCTTCCTGGGCCCCTTCCTGGGCCTCTTCCTGGGCCTCTTCCTGGGCCTCTTCCTGGGCCTCTTCCTGGGCCCTCTTGATGAGAAGAGGCTCTCAAGGCCGGCGAGGTCCGGCCACGTCCTGGGCCCTTCCTGACCCTTCCCAGACATGCACCATCTTCTCACCTTGACAACACGCGTGTCTGGCTCCCCGAGCATCGACCGCTGCGGTGGGTGTTTTCCATGCTCTGAGGTGGGTCCCGAGAAATGGCTTCCCTGCCCAGCATTGGCTGTTCTGCGGACACCAGCCCCGCCGTGTCCAGGAGCAGAGGACGCTCTGCCCCCACCCCCACCCCCAGGAACAGCCACTCGGCCTTGGTCCCGCAGCGAGTCTGTTCTGCAGGCCAAGCCCCGACTGTTCTCATTCTTCAAGTTTCTACTAAATTGTTTCCTCAAATATACTTGTGATGTCCACAAACAGGAAAACAAAGATAAACCAGAGAGTCCAGACGTCCAGCAGCGGAGAACTGGTCTTCAGCCTGCCGGGGCCCATCCCCAGGCTCTTCACAGCCCAGGGCAGCGGCGCCTCCTCTTGGCCGGACCCACCGCTGCCCACGGTATCCTCGCCCTGCTCTCGGAGTTTGTTTTGTTGTCTTAAGCAAGGTCAGATATTTTTACCGTAAAACAGCGTTATGGGTAAGATCAGAGCGTTAATTTTCACCTTCCTTCCTCTCTGACATAAGCGTGTAAGGCTGGAGAGTCGCTCGGCCCAGGCTGCCACCCCCACAGGCCTGTCCTTGCTGCACTCATGAGGCCCGTGTGTGCCTTGCGGAAGTGCTGTTAACTGTGAAGGGCAGCTAAGACTTTTCTCGTCATAATTTCTTTGTGACTCTGTTGTACTTGGCCATATTTTCCTCAGTTGTTACATCCTCAGGTAATGGCTGGCGCAGGGCGCGGCCGAGCCTGCTGGCCTCCACGCGGCTGACCCCCCGCCCGCACCGGCTTCCTCCCTGCTCGGCACAGATGAGCACAGAGGCATGGTCGTTCCCTCATCAACACGGTGCCTTTGTCTGTCCCCTTGCGGTTCTATTTTTGCTTCATACATTTTAATATTACACATGCCTTGTGAATTAATCTCCAGGAGGCCTTTTTAAAATAAAGTCTGTTTTGACTGATATAAATATAGACGCACCTGCTTGATTCTATAAAAGGACTCACACAGACACGTCTTTCTGTCTTTTTAGTTTCAACCACTCTGGTTCCTCATGCCTCGGGCTTGTGTTCCGAACTATCTACAGTTGGAACATTTCATCTGTTTACTTTTACTGTAATTATTTGGGTTTATTTCTACTTTTTAATTCTGCATTTTCTTTTTCTCTCCTTTCATATATTTTCCTTCTTCCTCCTCCTACCACTGCTAAAACCGTTCGCATTTTCCCTACACGCTCGTGTCACTGCTCTGCGCTCCAAGATGCATGGTCACCAGCACGAGTCCAGTGATGGACAGGCCTGCAGTGGACTATGGACTATGGACTTGGCCGGGGCCAGCGGACGTGTTCCCCTAGGGGCTCTCCTGCAGCGTGGGGCAGTGCCCACTCCAGTGCAGGCTGAGGGGGTGAGGCCACGCCTGGGGCCTGTGTTTTCTGCGTCTCTTCATTGTCCACAGGAGTCCTTGCCAGAGAGAAGTGGACCCAGTCTGTAGGGAGCCTATGAAGCCTCTGGTCAGGATCAAGCGCTGCTGGACTCCCTGGATCGGGACAAAGACATGAGCCCCACGAACTGAGTCCCCACAGGGGCATGGGGGGGGGGGGGGTGCAGCGCCTGCAGGTCCTAACTGTGGCCATGCCCCCAGGCGTCCAGCAGATGGACACAGCTTGCCACCAGGCCAGGTGGCCACTGACACCTCCCAGCACGGGGAGCTGACGCCCCCGCAACAGCTGTCAGGTCAGCCCCTGGGCTCACGAGCACTCCAGGGTGCTCTGTCTGGGAGACGGGGCTGCCCAGGGGCCCCAGCTCAAGGACGGGGCGGGGCGGGGCCTGAGGTCTGCTCCCCACACCAGCCACAGGGAGCCGGAGCTGGCCCTGCTGCAGGCCCTCCACCGAGGTGGCACAGGACTCTCCTGGGCTGGCGGGGTCGCCGGAGGCTGTGGGGGCGGAGAGGCCGTCCCAGGCCCTGGAACCAGACGCTCTCGGCCTGGGGCTGGAGTCAGGGGTGTATTTTACATGATTCTCCTTGTGCAAAGTGTCACAGATACAATTTCCCTACGTCAGACATGAGGTCACCGAAGCACAACAACGTTGCTTTCAAGGTGATGTCCCTGTCAGTGCCAGGCCTAGAGGAGACCCCCCCCCTCACAAATAAATGGATGGCGAATGGGAACAGTTAGACCTGGGGTCCCGCCGAGCCCAGAGGAGCCCGCCCAGCCCCTGGGAGGCTGTACGGCCCCCCCACCCCGGGCACCTACTTGGGACGACGAAGTCGATCTCCTCCGACATGGCGACGCCCAGCCGGTTGGCAGCGAAGCAGCGGTACTTGCCCTGGAAGGCGGCCACGTGGCCCTCGTTAGGGATCTTGAAGGTGCCGGAGCCATTGGACACGACGATCCGTGGGTCGGACAGGTCGAAGGGCTTCCCATCCTTCGTCCACGAGAACCTGCGCGTGGCAAGGAGGCCGTCCTGAAACCACGCTGCTCCCGCGCTCGCGGTGTCTGCACACGTGACAGAACGACCATCCCGGGATCTACACACAGCCCAGACAGGGATGGCGTGGGGGACACCAGAGAGTGTCTGGAGCCACTGGCAGGCCCCAAGAGTCCCGCGGGTTGAGGGTCTACGCCCCACAGGTCCTGGGGCAGGGCTGGGGGCTGTGTTATAAGCTCCCAGTCCTCGGGAGTGGGGTAGGTCCACTCTCCATGGCACAACCCCGATGGGCTGTGCCGGGCACCGGTCAAACGTGGGCGCAGGACAACGGGCTGCCCGTTCACACATCTGTCCTGCCCACATGGTCAGCCTGTCTAGACGCTCTGTGGTTCGGGGACACAGCCTCGGGGCGGGGGTGGTGGCTGGCGGTGTCCGCACTGGCCCTGCAGCCTGACTGCTCTTCAGCTGACCCTACAGACAGGTGTCATGGTGCTGACCGGTCCTCATTCATGCGGACTGGATGAATTCTCCTTCACCCATTGTAACTCTATTCCCATTACGTGTATTAATCCGATATATTCTGTTTGGGAAATTAATAGAAATAGTGACATTTAACCTGTTAAAAGTCAATATTGATATTTTTTAAACATCAAATTATTGCACACGAGTGTTATTCCTGATGTAATTTAAAATAATCAATTGTTGGGCCTCCACGGTGGTGCAGCGGTTGAGAGCTGGGTTGCGAAGCTGCCCGCAGCCTCTGCAGCACCGGTTCGATCCCCGACCACGGGGTGAGGGTCCCACATGGTGTGCAGACCTCTCCTGCCACCCGCTGCTCCCCTCAGCAGTGTCCTTCGGTCCTTCTGCCTGCTCTGCTCCCCGCTCTGGCTCTGGTGAATTCTCTCACCCTCCCGCGCTTCTGACTGTACCCAGTGCATGTATAAATAAATAAATAAATCTTTAAAAATAAATAAATAAATAAATAAATAAAATAAAATAATCAATTGTCAATAATATGCATCTTCTTAGCGGATACAGAACACTCAAGTAAATCCATCAAAGTGTGCATTGAAGTTTTGCTTCCTGTTTGGAATCGCTTAGAACCTGAAAGCCTGGAATCCTCCCTGCAGTTTCTCCACCCTCATTTGCGATGTCCTCACCGCTTTACCTCCCTTCCAAAACGTGGGGTATTTAGAAAGAATTCCACGAGGAAGCATGAGCACCTAGACTAATGCATCATAGGACACCGGCTGCCAGGGGGAGCTGCAGGCAGCCCTCGGCCCCAGACGGCTGCTACACAGGCGGCTTGAGAGACCCGAGCAGCATGGGCACCGGACAGGACGGCTTGCCACACACAGCAGCTGACCGCAGGTGCTGCTCGTGAATGTATCAGCTTTTGTCTTAACAAATGCCACCTCCACTGAGGAGGACAGTGGGTTGTCGGGGTCTGAGCTGGCGTGTCTCCCCCTAATGTGAGGAGTGTGGGATCTCTGCCACGGCCACGCCCACGCCGAGCATCTAGCAGAAGAAATAATACCACTGGCAAAAGAGCAGCCGTGGAAGATACACGCTGGGCTTTCACCAACACGGCCGACATGCACGCAGAGATCCTCACCTTTGGTCAGGTCTAGTCTGCAAGGCTGTAACAGGCGGAGCAACAGGCAGCGCGCAGGATTGTGCACGGTTATCGGGTGTGCCGGGGCGGGCGGGGGGTACTCACAGAGGCTCTGGATTTCCTGTGGCTTCACATTCAATCAGGAAATACTCGTCGAAGGGAAAGGCCACTTGCACCCGGGACTGCCTGGTGATGGTCGGCACCTGCGGGACTGAACGTCAGAACGCGCATTTGAGGAACGTGCTCCCTAAAGGCTGGCGGCTGCCTGCGTGGTGGCAGAGACACCGGCCACGCCTCACACTGCTGACAGGGCGACCACGAGGGAGGGCATCGCGGAGCGGATCTGGCCTCCTCTGGCCACAGCGTCTGCTTCTAAGGGACATGTTTCCCTGACATCGTCTCTCGCTGTCATACATGTGAATTTTATTTCACCCAGGATAATGTAATGATTTTCTAAATGGAATAAACACTGTGTCATGATTGTAAACATGTAATTGTAAGCTACGGCGCCAGCCCATGTAGACGCGGCTCACACTGTTCCTTACCTGAGTCACCCTGACAGCTGCTTCCTCACTGTTCTCTGACAGACCTTTCCTCCCCGTGCTTACATTTATCTCTACTGGTGCGTAATTGTCCTGGTATTAGATATTAGATATTAGATTTCCACTTTTCTCTTCCCGGGAGCGTCCTTCAGCCCACACCCTCGGCGTGGCCTCCCGGTGGGGCAGCCTGTGCTCTTGGGGCGAGGCTCACCCCCGCTCAGAGGCGCAGCCACAGCGCCCCGCGTGGAGCCCCGCTCCCTGCTTCCATTGATGCTGGCGTTTAAAATGACAAAACAGCAGTTACCGCTGAGGAAGCTGTAACGCCCTGATTCTCTGAACTTTTATTTCCATTTCGTTCCTCTGTTTTGTTGAGGAGGTTGACGCTGGTTTACAACACTGTGCGCCCCGGGCGACCTGGAGCCACATGCAGGCAGAGACCCTCTCCTCGTCTGCAGCGTCAGGTGAGGCCCGGACGTGCTGGCCTCGGGCGCCTGCGAGTCTTAGAGATTATAGGGGCTATGGTCCATGAGGGTGGCAGCTCTCAGACTTGCTGTATTGGCAGTTACAGCTGAGAAGTCTTGATTTGTTTGAATAATCCTATCACACTTAAAATGTATAACGCCCTTAATCAAGAACTTGGAGCAGAGAGAGGACAGTGGGCTGTTCTGCCTGGTGTGAGTCTCCAGCACCGCAAAGCAGGCCGCCCTCACACCCACACCCACACCCACCCCCCACTGTGACGCGCGGCTTTGTCTGCATAAGCCAGGGGATCGGGGCCCACGCGGGCACACGCCTGGGAAGGAAGAGCACTGACAGTCTGTCTGACGACTGTGGATGTTCCTCTCCGAGAGCTCCCCAAGCTCCACAGGCGTGGCCCTCACACACCTGCCGCGCGGAGCCTGTAGCCAGGGAGGCAGCATCACATCCTGTTCCAGGAAATGCATGTCCACGCATCCTGGTTGGTTTCCGATCTCACAACATGTACAACTGGGAGAATGTCGCTTCGTGGAGTTCCCGAGACCTTCCTAATAGCAGCATGATCTCAAAAGGGTCGCATTTCCAGCCCGATGGCCGGCCAGGGAGGGTGACGCGACCCGCCTCCACTTCCGAGCCCTGCGCCTTGCTTGTGTGTACAAATCCCATCACCGAGTCTCATAGCCAGAGTCAGCGGCCACGCTCGGTCTTTAGCACTGGACACGAGAAACGTCTTGGTGAGACGCAGGACCCTGTCTCCTCACGGACACCTGCCTGGCTCTGATTCCCACAGCTGGATTCCCAAGTGGAGGAGGCCTTGGGCTTATTGCAAATTCACGTTATTTCAATTTCACTGCAGTTATGAATGGAGCGGGGACGCGCCAGAGTGGCAGTCCCTGAGATATCAGCTAATAACTTGTGAACAAGTTGTTGATTAGCACATTATTCTTTCCGAAATTTGCAAAGGTTGTAAAGCCTTCCCGATAACTAATGATTCAGGGGATGAAGTTAATAACCTTTGGGTGTTTATAAGAATATATATGCTACATTATAAATCCTTCCCTCCACAATTAGGCCAATTAAGGAGCCACCAGACTCGTTGACATTCAGATTGGGCACCTGCCTTGGATGCATTTGCCGGTGAGGGCCCTGGAGTGCCGGAGTAAATGGTAATGTTCAGTTGTTCTCTACGTGTCATTAATATTTTATAACAGTTGTTGTCTGAGGATAATACAGCATGAAATGCCTAAGAACCGAAACAGCCGGGATAAAAATGTGAGCGGCGGGTCACAGCGAGGCTCACGTCCTCAGCGGCAGAGGCGCGAGAGGAGGGTAGGAAGGGTGTCCTGAGGGCACGCGGCCGGAGTCTCAGGCAGGACCTGCCTGCGTCTCTGTGGCTGCTGGAGAGGGCGTGCAAGGGGCCCCCAGTGCCGGCTGCTCGGCCTGGGGTTGCAGCGGATGGACCCGGCGTGGGGTGAGTTCAGGCTCTGCCACAGCCGAGCTGACAGGTCTGGGGCCGGGGAACAGGCCGCGCTTGCTCCCAGGGACCTGCACGTCTGCCCGCGGGGACAGCCCCAGAGAGAGGACGGGAAACTGAGAGGGCCAGGCCGGAGATGACCCTACTTCCCTCCTCTCCACTCTTGGGGCTCCAGGGGAGGGCGGCAGCCAGCCCACGCCGTGCTCAGGCGCCGCTGCTAGCACACATGAGCATGTGCCTCCTTTCCACGCCCTGGGCCCGCGGGGGGTCCCGGTCTCCACGAGCTCCTCTCTGTGCTTACTCAGTTACCTGAGGTGAAGACTAAGTCTCCAGAATTTAGAGGATGCACAAAGATCATTTCCAAGGGTAAGATTCTAAGAAACAGCCAAGGCTTCTTCTGTAACAACTCTCTGGCTTCCACGTGGAGGCACAGCTGGGTGTTACTTGAACTTTTTGCATAAAATACCCCAATATTCTCCCGAGGGTCTTAGAACCTCGTGTGTTTATAACCCAGAGACACCCAGAACCTGACGCCTGTCACTGCGTGTGCAGACCTGCCACTCCTGGACTCAGGTACTGTGATGGGCACAATGATGTGTGACGTGCGAGGACTGATGTGTGACGTGTGAGGACTGATGTGACATGTGGTGACTGATGTGTGACGTGTGAATGACACGTGACATGTGACGTGTGATGATTGATGTGTGACGTGTGATGACTGGTGTGTGACATGTGATGACTGGTGTGTGACGTGTGATGACTGACGTGTGACGTGTAACATGTGGCGACTGACGCGTGAGGACTGACGTGTGAGGACTGAGAGCCTGCAGCTGCTCTACATTCACACTATACCCAGACAATCTCTTGATACAAGTTCATACCCCAGACTTGTAGTTTTACAAAGTGGGTATCATTTGATACATTTCATTGGATCCACAAATAATGGCCTTTTAATTTTTCCTGGTTTATGGTTTTCACCCTTAGATACGCAATCACTCTGAGAAATAGTATAGGGTTTGTTCAATTCCTCCTGGTCATAACTGGTGGAATGTTGGTGATTTCTGAGTCATAATTCTCCCCAAAATAAACCAGCCCAGGCCTAGCAGTCACCCTGCTGGGCACACCGCGACCGTGTCCAGGCAGGTGGCAGCTCCCCCGCAGGTCTGCCTCCTGCTGTGCCACGGCAAAGGGGCGATTCCCGGCTGTGGGATAATCCAGCCGAGCAGACGCCACAGAGTGAGCACGGAGACAGCGCCCAAGGACAGACTGCGGGAAAAGCAGAGACCTCGCCGCAAGCCAAAGTCTGAGCCCCCGGGCCCGCCCCGCCAGGCGCAGACACGAGCCCCTGTTACCTGAGAGCGGGATCTCGGTGGCTGCAGGGACCCGCAGCAGGAAGAACAGCAGGGCCAGGACCCCGCACCCCAGCAGCGGCGACCCCATCGCTCCTCAGGCCCGCACTGGGCGTCCCGACGGCGCCTCTGCCCTGGACGTAAAGACGAGGAGGGGCGAACCTGGAGACCGGAGAGACAAAGAGAACAGCGATCTCAGCTCCCTGCTCTGAATGTCCACACGCTCAGACGTTCCTGCCCGCCCAGACGCTCCCGCAGAGACCCACGCCTGCCACCGGGGGGTCATCAGTCATTCCGCTTTGCCCTGGACAAACGCGGGGCAGGCGCAGGCCAGCGCCGGGCATCATGGCCTCCAGCCCGTCCCGTGGGGGCCTCATGGGAAGGCCCGACCCTGAGCAGAGAGGCCCAGTCGCTGTCCTCGCCTGTTCAAGGGGGCTCTTGCAGCCCAGGCTTCTTCCAGGCTCGAGCCCGCTGGAATCACCATTAAGTGTGGCCCATCCAGTCTTTCATTTTCCTGGCAAGTTAACTCTTCCCGACCCAAGTCAGCGCAGCAGTAGAAGGGGATGAGGGCGGCGGGGAGACAGGAGGGGCAGGGGAGGTCGGCCTGGCTTTGAGTGAAGCCGGGGCGGGCAGACGCGGGGGCCAGCCCCCAGCCTAGACGGGGGCACCGCTAGTCTCGGCCCCCCGCTGCCCCCCACCGCCGCCATTTTGTTCCCAAACATGAGACAATGGACATCTACACGCTGTTCTTCTAACAGATTTTGCTTCAAACTGTGATAGTTTTCCAGGTACATCATGTTCTCTTTCTGTAAAAATCAATGATCATATTTATTTGCTTTGAACTGGTGACAAATTAACGAATGTGACACAGACGAGCCTTTAAAGGCCCATTTAATCCTGTGTGTGTTGGTTTTGTTATCCCCCGAGGGCCTCTGACAGCAGACGAGCTACAGCTCGGGACTTGGAGACTGGCTCGCACCTCCGTGTGAGAAGGGCCACACCGCTGACGACGGACTCCCGACCCTATAAACACGGCGCCATGTGCCGCGTGTCCCGTTCTGCTCTCCTCTGCCCACTGGCCAGAGCCGTGTCCACTGAGCCCGAGCCTTGGCCTTGTTCCCACTGCCAGATCTTCCCTGAGAGCGAGAACTAAGACGGTGCTGGGGCCACACGGGAGCAGGCCGGGCCGCCCAGTGCAGGGGGGGCCTGGCATCGGCAGCTGCAGAGCGATCGCACGGGCCTGACCACCCACCACCGGTCCTGGGCCGACGCTGCCCCGGGGAAGCTGCCCTGAGCCCTGGGCTTAACGGAGCCTGTAGTGAGAGGCGCGGCCTGCAGGGGGCACCATGGCTCCGGAGGACGGATGAGGGGCAACCCAACTTCTCACCTCCTCCCCCATGACCAGTTCTGAGGATGACATGGGACAGTCACGTCAAAGCCGCTGCCGGCCCCAGGGTGAGGAGGGCAGGTCCGGAGCGGCCTCTGATGAGGCTCCAGTCACCGTCGCCGATGCCCGGCCGCCTCTGTGTAACGCTAGGAGATGCCATGAGGCTCCATTTGTCTCTCCACACTGGGTGACTCTGATGCCGCACGCCAGGCCCCAGAGATAGGGGACCAGCAGGGCTCAGGGGGGCCGATGGCCAGACAGAGACAAGACACAGCCGAGCGCCTCAAAGGCCCTCTGACAGCTCAAGCCAGTCCACCGCTCTTATGCTCGTAAGTTGACGAGTTTCCCTGGTTTTGGACACAAAGGGTCAGACCTTCCCGCTGTCCAGCTCATCCTTCAAGAGAATCAGCCCTGACGCCGAGCCGAAAAGATAGCTCCGCCTCCCGGAGGAAGGCCTGCGGGCATGCAGGGGGCGCTTGGGGCGGTGGGGCGGCTCCAAGCCAGCAGCTGGCCAGGACTCAGTCTGTGGGTTGCACGGTTGGGACAGGCCGAGGGGCAGCTAGGTGTCCGCGTGCCCCGGCTCAGGCTGCAGCGGCTGTGTGGGGCCGTGAGTACCATGGCGCTGGGCACCTGACACCAGTGAGGATTTAGCGAGACGGGGCTGAAGGAGGATGGAACTGAGTGGTCTCCAGGAACGGCGGGTGAAATCCTGAGGCAGGTCACCTGTGGGGACAGCAGCTCAGCATGGGCCTGCTCTGCCCGCATCCCGAGAGGAGACGCCAGCACGTCAGCGAGGCCGTCTCTGCCCCTCCCAGACAGCAATGGTCATCTCTGGAAGAGCATCTGCCCCAAGGCGCAGCCCACGACATCCTGCCACCAGCGCATCAGACCGGCTCCTGGCAAGTCCAGTGAATCCTAGGCATGGCAAACAAAGGCTCCAGGGTCCATCGCTGATGCTGGGGTGGCCTCCAGCCTCTGCCACAGAGTCTGGGTGGACGGGGCAGGCAGACAGGACAGGGCTCTCCCGTCCCTAAGCTGGGGCACCGGTGGCAGCACTGGGCTCGCCTCCCAGACAGGGCTGGGCTCCGGCTCTCGGGAGGGGACGGCACGGCCTCATGTCCAGTGCCACGGCCAGCGCCTGGCACAGGGACAGGCTGGTGGACGAGACAGACCCATCTGGCCGCCGGAGCTGAGGTGCGGGCCGTGTGCAGAGGGCAGCGAGGCTGTCCCCCGCCCCCTCCGGTGCGTCCACGCCGCTCTCTGCAGACTGCTGAAGCGCCGGACACTTGTGGGGCGATGGGGGGGCAGGGAGGCTTCACAGCAGGGCCTGACTTGGTGATTTATGTTTAGGGCCCACATCTCAGCAGGAAGCCGCAGCTTGGACTCAAGCATCCAGCGCAAGGGAAGGTGCGATGACGAAGCCGTCATCCTAATTGGAATTTCAGTCACGCCTGCACACAGCCTCTCCTCCAGCACAGATGCTGCTGCAGGCCCGCATATGGGGAGGGCTCCCAAGTAGGGTTTCTCTCTACAGGAGCCTGAAAACCCAGACAGGATTGCTACCATTCCTCAAAAGGCAGGCTAGGTTCTGTGATGTTTACACTGAGTTTCACGCCTGTTATCAACAGAATCACAAATGAGTTCATTGTTTTTCATTAGCACCAGCCATGTAATCACCCAGACACACACCGGCTCATTCACACCTCGCTCTGTCTTAAGATGCGTCTCCAGTGGGATCTTTGGGAAGGCTCAGAAACCTGAGGAAGGTCTTTGATGAGTCAGGAAGGAGACAGAGCCGTCTTCAGGGGGCTCTGCCCAGCTCCCTCTTGGCTCCCGGGCAGCGGGTGGCCCAGGCCGGTGGCCACAAGGGGTCAGCCCACATCTCCTTCACTGTCTACTTGTCACAGCCTTGCGGGGAGGCGCGGCGCCCTTGAACCAAACCACCAGATGCCCAACCGCCGGGGCCTGTTGCTCCCAAGAACCCGTGTCCACGTGTGCGGGCCCCGCTGCCCTGGCCCTTCTTTCCCCGACAGAGCCCGAGGTGCACGATGTGTCGGCCGCTGTCCCCACCCACCACCCTCCGTGGCCCAGAGGGCAGCTCAGCGCCCGCGTAAGAGCATTTTAGTTTCTTTTCTTTCCTTTCTATTTCCTTTCTGTCGGGAAGCTGACGTCCCTCTCAGTAGGATCGCGCCCAGCGGTTCCAGCAACACACTGTCCAGCGGGGAAAGCCCTTTGATTTCACGCGAAGGTCTATATTCGGCACGAGAAGAGGCCACGCAGCAGAGGCATCCTAGCTCCCACGGCGAGGCCCCTGGCATCCCTACTGCAGCCAGAAGAACTGCTTGGGAGTCCCACGGCACAGAGACTGTTCCACCAGCGCCAGGGGGCTGGGAGACAGGGCCAGAGCAGGCCCGCGGCTGGAGAAGAGCAGGCCGCTCCCTCTCGTGGGAAGAGAGAAGGAAAGAGGCTCTTAAACCCATTTTGTTCTTCGTGTGTCTGAGCATAAAGCCCACATCTGAGAAGCATTTCACTGAGCCTGGCGGGGAGAGGGCGGCTGCAGGAAACCAGCAGCAGCATGACCAGTATTACCAGCAGCAACTAGTATGACCGGCAGCATGACTAGTATCACCAGCTGCAGCACTGGCATGACCAGCAGCACCAGCCTGCCCTGGCCCTCGCAGCAGCGCCAGCGGGAGTAGCAGCAGCAGCGGCGGCAGCAGCTGAGGACATGGCAGCAGCAGTGGACACCGGCAGGCCTGGCCCCGTCCCATGGTGTGAGTGGGCCAGCACGCAGCCCCACAGCTTCGGGGCTCGCTGAGGTCCCCCCACGCCAGGCCCACGGGCTGGGGACAGCGGGTGTCCACTATGGCTGTGTCCTGCTCTCCAGCTCTAGACTTTTAGGCAAATAGTCCATTGTGGAAAGAGACAGAAGGCCTTTGTTTTCCAGAGGACAATTTCCTACAACCCAGGACCGTTTGATTCATCAGAAGCCCTTTGTTAGGAGACCGAGGACCATTCATGCCGAGAGTTAGATGATGCGCATCCACGAGAGCTTTTCCTCCCCGGTCTGTGTCACCGACCGTGGGCACTGGGGATCCTCGCCGCGGTCCCAGTGTGCGCGTGGCGGGTCCGGAGGACGCGGGCGTGTGTGATGGCCAGGGCTGGCTCTGGGTTAGCCTGAGGCCTCAAGTCATTTCCTAGAGGTGCAAACTGGCAGCAGCTGCTCTCGGGCCCTTCCTTGGAAAACTTCACGGAGGCCTCAGATGTCCATTCAAAAGCTACGCAGCATTAGGACTCCCAGGTCCTTACTCCCACTGGGACACAAACAGCAAATAACCCCAACTCCAACCCTCAAGATGGGCCCCCAGGAAGGGCAGGGGCGGCCATGTCCATGGCGGGGTTGCCTCAAACGGGCACGGAGAATTAACCCTCTTCCCGAGCAGTGACACAGGGTCACCGGAGTCGAAAAGACTCTTCAGCTCATGCATGACTGACCAGTCACCCTCCGGCAAGGACTGGACGACCGGCCAGAGCGGAGCACCCAGGAGAGGACGACAGGCAGCACCTGGCTGCGCCTTTCTCCTGCGACAGGGCAGCCGGAGGAGCACCTTGAAAGCACACGGGGGTCCCCTCTAATCAACGAGCCCAGATGGGTTCCTCCGAGGGAGCTGCTCAGCCGAGTCTCCAAGAACGAGTGAGCAGAGCTCGGGCACAGCCTGTCTCGAGCAGCCAGGGGCCCGCACAGGCCCTGGCCAAGCCCAGGTGCCCAGACCGG